GTCCATCCCCAAGCCCCGTCCCCAGCCCCATCCCCCAGTCCCATCCCCCAGCCTCTTCCCCAGCCCTGTCCCACAGTCCATCCCCCAGCTCCGTCCCCAGCCCCGTCCCACAGTCCATCCCCCAGCCCCGTCCCCAGCCCCATCCCACAGTCCATCCCCCAGCCCCATCCCACAGTCCATCCCCCAGCCCCATCCCACAGTCCATCCCCCAGCCCCGTCCCCAGCCCCATCCCACAGTCCCATCCCCCAGCCTCTTCCCCAGCCCTGTCCCACAGTCCATCCCCCAGCTCCGTCCCCAGCCCCGTCCCACAGTCCATCCCCCAGCCTCTTCCCCAGCCCTGTCCCACAGTCCATCCCCCAGCTCCATCCCCAGCCCTGTCCCACAGTCCATCCCCCAACTCTGTCCCCAGCCCCGTCCCCAGCCCCATCCCACAGTCCCATCCCCCAGCCTCTTCCCCAGCCCCGTCCCACAGTCCATCCCCCAGCCCCGTCCCCAGCCCCGTCCCACAGTCCCATCCCCCAGCCTCTTCCCCAGCCCCGTCCCACAGTCCCATCCCCCAGCCTCTTCCCCAGCCCCGTCCCACAGTCCCATCCCCCAGCCTCTTCCCCAGCCCCATCCCACAGTCCATCCCCCAGCCTCTTCCCCAGCCCCGTCCCACAGTCCCATCCACCAGCCTCTTCCCCAGCCCCATCCCCCAGTCCCATCCCCCAGCCTCTTCCCCAGCCCCGTCCCACAGTCCCATCCACCAGCTCCGTCCCCAGCCCCATCCCACAGTCCCATCCCCCAGCCTCTTCCCCAGCCCCGTCCCACAGTCCATCCCCCAGCCTCTTCCCCAGCCCCCCAGCCCCATCCCCCAGCCCTGTCCCCACAGCCCCATCCCCAGCCCCATCCCACAGTCCCATCCCCAGCCTCTTCCCCAGCCCCGTCCCACAGCCCCGTCCCCAGCCCTGTCCCCACAGCCCCATCCCACAGCCCCATTCACAGTCCCATCCCCCAGCCCCGGCCCCCCGGCCCCCCCCGGCCTGAGGCAGCGCCCACCTGATGATCACGCAGTCCAGGAAGTCGGTCAGCCGGCCGTTGCGGGTGATGTAGGAGAAATCTGGGAAGCGCCGCTGAGGAATCCAGAGAAAGCGTCAGACACAGCGGCTGCCCGGCTCGCAGCGACGGCGGGGCAGCCAGTCTCCAGGGAGCAGGCACCAACACCCGGATCTGGCAGCGGCGGTGCCAGGACCACTGCCCACTCACAGCCTCTGAGCACGGGGTCTCAGCCGCCACACAGCCTGCGGACGCCCACAGCCCTTCCCTGGACAGACTGACCCAGGCAGGACACCCCATCCGTCATGTGATGGAGGGGCAGCCCACCTGCCGCCTGCACTGCCCACTTGCCCAGACTGTGTCCATTCCATGGGTCAGCGCCTGACACGCGAGTCCCCCAGGTCCGCGCCCAGGGCCAGCCTGGCAGGATGGCCCAGCCCCCACGCCCCGCCCTCCCCGGAACTCACGTCATCGTTGAAGCCCATGTGCATCCCGCAGTCCAGCATGACGTTCTTGCCCCCGATGGAGACCAGGATGCAGCTCCGGCCCACGTCCTGGCCAGCCCCTGCAGGTCAGGGTCAGGGTCAGGGTCAGGGTCAGGGAGGTGCTGCCACACCCTCCCATCCCCACCGCCCGCTGTCCCGCCCCCAAAGGCCGAGGCCCAGCTGCCTGTCCCAGGCCCCCCGGGCACTCTGGACCCCTGGCTGGCAGAGCCCTCGGGCTGGGAAAGGACCTCACGACGGCTGAGTGGACGTGTGATGTAAGACCACGTCACACCCACCGCAGACAGGAAGGGGACGCGCAGGAGGGGACCGAGCGCCTTGTCCTCCAAGGGCGTCCTGGCCTGAGCGGCCCTCGCCTCCAGCCTCAGGCCCGGCCTCTGCTGCCAGCCTCGGATGCAGGGAGGCTGCATCCGCCTGCTGTGACCCACCGCTCCCTGGAAGGCCCGGGGCTGCTGAGCACCGGGGCTCCGCCTCACCACCCCCTGAAACCTGGGCTGAGACGGCACTGGCAGTCCTGAGCGGCCCCCGGGGGCGGCCCACCTCGCTGCCGGCCCTGGTGCCACCACCGAGGCTCCCAGGGCTCAGCCTGGCCACGGGGAAGCATGCCCAACTGACAGCAGCACCCACCTCAGGGACCAGCCCGGAACCCGCTCCCGCCCACTTCCTGGCGCCAAGCCCTGCCCGGCTGCTCCAGCCGTCACAGGGCACATCCAGCACCTCTGGCCCACCTGTGGCCTCAGGGCCCAGAAGGAATGGACACAACCTCATACGGCCCCGTAATGGCAAATGGCCAGCTTTCTGCCGGCCACCGGGCCGCTGTTGGCAGCACACCCAGAGGCGACAGGACCACGGCCAGCGCAGGACAGCGGCTGGTCCTGGAGACGCTTATCCCCATGACAACCGCAGGGACGCCAGCCAGGAGCTCTGCCTGTGCCTCAGGCAGCCCAGCCCCGGTGGCCGCCCGGGGTCCCTCCAGGCCCGCTCCTGTCTCCACCAGGACGCCCCGTGGGCGGTGGTAACTGTCTGCTCCCAGCGTGCCGGCCCAGAGGCCCTCCCGACGTCTGTGGGCGGGGAAGGGCCACCGTCTGGTGGGATCCACCTCTGCCCCTGACGCATGGCTCCTAAGCATGGGCCAGGGATGGCCTCCGACCCGAGCCCAGCTCCTAGCCGTGCACACCGGCCCCAACGACCACTCGGGAGCTTGAACTGGGTGGGAGATGTGAGAACAGAGCCCGGGGCACACACAGGGGCAGGACTCAAAGGAAAGGAGACCACCTGCCTGCAGGGAGCGCAGGGTCCAGGCCAAGAGACAGACGGTGAGCCCACCAGGTGGAGGTCAGTGCCAGGGGGTAAGGTGGGCAGGGAAGGGGCCACAGAAACTTCCAGAACCCAGCGGGTGGGACAGCAGCGGGAGGCAGGGTGCCAAGGCCCGTGGCCCCGGTGATTTCGGAGACTGTCCAGCCCAGGTGGACCTGGGAGCCCACAAACAAGGCGGAAACGGGCGAAGGGAGAAGCAGGTTCAGTTTTGGTGATGTGGCTGCGTGGCCCGGGGCACACCAGGTGCAGCCGGGGTCAGAGAAGCAAGGAGGGAGGACTGTTCGAGGAGAGCGCTTGCTGACAAAACGGCAAATGGAAAAGGGGCTGGAGGGAGGGTCCCGCAGTGCCCTGGGGATGAGGGGGGGCAGGGGCAGGGGCAGGCGTGGGGCCCATGGCCAGAGGGGACCCTGCGCCAGCGGCCACAAGAGGCCATGGGAGTGACGTGCACACGGTGGACTGAGATGTGTGCTCCCCCCCTGCCCTTCCCACACACACACACACACACACACACACACACACCCCGAGGCTGAGGGCGAGGCTTGGGCAGGGGCTGGCTGTGCGCTGTGGCTGCCACAGCTCAGCGTCCCAGCTGGGGGTGGGCGGGCTCTTCTGAGGAAGAGCAAGGGTGTGGAGGTCCGTGGGACACCTGAGCGGGAAGCTGCCCTCAACTGGCAGCCAGCGAAGAAGGCAGGGCTGGAACAGGGCACCTGCTGTGAGCAGGGAAATGCCGGAGTCCTGGAGGCGACAGCCCACTTGTTCCTGGAACCCTGGGCTCTGCCTGACCTTTCCGCCTTCGCACTGTTCTGGACAGTTCAGGCTTTTAAAAGTGCACGAGGCCCTGGCCGGTGTTGCTCATGGGTTAGAGCACATGTATCAAACACAAGGCCCGTGGGCCAAATCCGTCCCGCCAGGCCTTGCAATGTGGCCCGCACCGCGCTGTCATCACTGCACTCCGCTGCGTTTCCATCACAATGACAGTTTATGACTGACTGTTCAGTAAACCATTCGGCCCGCGATTTAGGCTGGATTTTAGGTTTTGGCCCCTTCTCTGATTGAGTTCGACACCTCTAGGTTAGAGCATTGGCCCAAGCACCGAAGGGTCAAGGTCAGATTCCTGATCAAGGGCTGGAGCCTGAGTTTCAGGTTCACCCCCGGCCTCGTAGGGGTTCCTGCGGGAGGCAGCCAGTAACAACCAGTCAATGTGCGGCTCTCCTGTCGCTCCCCTCCCTCCCTCCCTCCCTCCCCTCCTTCCCACTCTGAAAAGCAATGGGAAGAAAGAGAAAAAATCCTCAGGTCTGGGGTAACAACATAAACGTGCAAACGCGTATCTTTTTCAAGAAGCAAAGCTATTTTCTTTAAAGTCACGAGGTCACGTAAACCACGGGCTGATCTAAGTGGACCACCAGGCTGGGTAGATGGGAGCCTGCAGGCCACCGGGCGCGAGGCAGGTGGAGCAGGCGAGCGAAGCGCGAGGGGGGGGGGGGGGGGGGAGGCGCCGCGAGCATCAGTCCACGCGCAAAGCGAGGGAGGTGCGGCGCCCAGCCCGCCAGCCCGGACCCGGACCCCGCGCCCCGAGGCCCCGCCAGCCCGGACCCGGGACCCCGCGCCCCGAGGCCCAGCCAGCCCGGCCCGGAGACCCCGCGCCCTGAGGCCCCGCCAGCCCGGATCCGGGACCCCGCACCCGGAGGCCCCGCCAGCCCGGATCCGGGACCCCGCACCCCGAGGCCCCGCCAGCCCGGCCCGGAGACCCCGCGCCCTGAGGCCCCGCCAGCCCGGACCCGGGACCCCGCACCCCGAGGCCCCGCGCCACAGCTGCGGCCGGGAGGGCGGCCCCGCGCCCGGCCCTGACACACCACCGCCGGTCCGCCCGGCGCCCTCACTCACCCAGGGGCGTGACCCTGATCTCGGGCATCCTGCCGCGCGCTCCCCGGCCTGTCGCTCCGCGCTCACCGGCCGCCGGACGGGACCCCGGCCGCAGGGACCCCAAGCGCAACACGAGAGCGCGGCTGGCGGTGACGCACGGCGCAGGCGCGATCCCGCCTCCACGGCGCCCAGTTCCGGTCCGCCCGCCGGAAGTGCGGGCCGCGCATTCTAATTGGGCGGCGGGCGGCCCATCCAGGGCGGGGGCGGTCCAGTGGCGGCAGCAGCGGCGGCGGCGGCGGCGGCTTAGGCGCCGCAGGTGAGCCGGGCGGCGGGCGCTGTGGGCGCGGGCGGGCGCGGCGGGCGCGGCGGGCGCGGGTGGGCGCTGGGAACCCGGAACCGGACCGGTCCGGCTGGGCATCTCTCCGGGGCGAGCGCGGGACCCCGGTCGCGGGACGGGGCGGCCGAGGACCCGGCTCCCCTCCATCCCGGACCCGGGACCCCGCACCCCGGGAACCTGTCCCATCCCTGGGCCTCAGCGGGAGCAGCACCTGCCCAGGAACGGCCCCACCCCGCCCCAGCCCGGCGCCGCCCGGTGCCCCTTTCCCAGGCGAGACTTGCAGGCCGTCCTGGGCGGACTTTGCTCCCAGCTCGGGGCCTGGTTGCAGGGACGGGGGTGCCCTCTCCAGGGGACTCAGCCTGCTGTCAGCATGGGGTTCGGGGGCTGGGGCGCCCTCCCGCTGAGCCCTGACCTCTGGCCCAGGGCTGCCCCCGGGGAGCCCTGGCCTGTCCTGCACCACCTTCCCTAGCTGGCCCGCTGCCACCCTCAGCTGCACTGCCCTTCCTGTTTCCAGGCTCCGGAGGCTCCCGGCCGCCCTTGTGGGCTGCTGGCTGGGGCTCCGGGCAGGAAGGCCAGGCTCACAGGATGTCCGGTGGCCAGGAAGGGGGCCCTGAGTGCCCGGAGGCCATCTGCTTCGCGGGCAGAGAACGGAGGCCCTGGGGATGGGGTGCTGGAAGTCTCCAGAGGGACATCTTCCTGAGGCCTGGCCGCCCCCACACCTGAGACGGGGTGAGCTCACCTCTGAGGGCTCCACCCCATGCCAGGCATTCAGGCCAACCCACTCACTGAGCCCAATCAGCCTGGACGGTGGGCAGGGCAGGGCGTGCTGACCCTTTCCCCCCCCAGGTGGAGGCCCAGCCTTAGGATGGTGAGTGGCCTGCCCAGAGCTGGAGGCAGAGCCTGCCCAGATGCCCGGTTCCTGGCTGCACAGCTCGGGTGGCCTCCCTCCCTGGCCAGGTCTCCACAGGGCACCCAGCACCAAAGGCAGGGGAACCCCCAGCCCCAATGGGATGGGAGCTTGTCCTGGACTTGAGGTGAGGTGCCGCTGAGTCCCCAGGGCCCATAAGAGCCACACTTCAACGCCAACTAGGGCGCTATGGTGCTTGGATGTTTGTGGAGCCACGGTATGAACACAAGCAGGATCCAGAGCAGGAAAGGATCGGTGTCTGTCCATCTGTCCAGCACACGCTGGCCTGCAGCCTCGGTGCTGGCTCCCCGGATGGAGGCAGCTGTGAGCGGGGACAGGCCAGGCCGCGCAGCCCCCTCCTGGCCATCACACCTCCCCTCACTGTCCTTTCACTCCTCCCCTCGTTCCCCTGCCGCAATTTCCCGTCTGTGTTATTCCCCGCCCGCCCCCTCTAAAATGTCTCCCCGAGGAGGCTGGGCAGTGTGTCTGTCACTGACACCCCAGCCTGGAGCTGGGTGGGGACCCAGCGTGCATTTCTCCAAGTAGCGACCACAGACGTTCTCATGAGAGAGAGACATTACACCCACAGAAACCGGAAAACCGGCGGGGGAGCATGTCTGAGGGGCAGGGGGAGGCCGGGCTGAGGTCTGTGGGCCCGTGTTCCGGGAAGGGGCGTGGCAGGGTCCGGTGGGTGTCCGAGAGGCAGGTGGGCTCTCGGGGAGCAGTGGGACCCCAGCTGTTTCTCTCCTCCTGCCCCTCCCCCGAAGGAGTCAGCCCATTCCCATGGAGACGACCCCGGCCCCAGCCCCAGCCCCAGCCCCAGCCCCAGCCCCAGCGACCATGGACGATGCAGGGTCGGACTTCAACCTGAAGGTCGTCCTGGTCAGCTTCAAGCAGTGTCTCAACGAGAAGGAGGAGGTGCTGCTGGAGCACTACCTCGCCGGCTGGAGGGGGCTGGTCAGGTGCGTGGGTGCTGGGGGGGCAAAGTGGGGCTTTCCCAGCCACACCCCCCCCGGGGCAGGCCCTGCAGCACCCGGGGCCCAGCCTCTGCCTCCCCTCCCTCCCTCGCAGGTTCCTGAACAGCCTGGGCGCCATCTTCTCCTTCATCTCCAAGGACGTGGTGGCGAAGCTGCAGGTGATGGAGCGCCTGTGCGGAGGGCCCCAGCGGGACCACTACTGCAGCCTGCAGTCCATGGTGGCCTACGAGGTGGGCAACCAGCTGGTGGACCTGGAGCGCCGCTCCGGCCACCCGGACTCCGGCTGCCGGACGGTGCTGCGGCTGCACCGGGCGCTGCGCTGGCTGCAGCTCTTCCTGGAGGGCCTGCGCACCAGCCCGGAGGACGCGCGCACGGCCACGCTCTGCACCGACTCCTACAACGCCTCGCTGGCCGCCTACCACCCCTGGATCGTCCGCCGGGCCGTCACCCTGGCCTTCTGCACGCTGCCCACGCGCAAGGTCTTCCTGGAGGCCATGCACGTGGGGTCCGCGGAGCAGGCCGTGGCCATGCTGGGCGAGGCCCTGCCCTTCATCGAGCACGTGTACGACGTCTCCCAGAAGCTCTACGCCGAGCATGCCCTGCTGGACCTGCCCTAGGGCCCCGAGGCCCGGCCCCCGCCCCCGGGGCCAGGCTGGGCAGCCGGGGCCCCTCAGTCCCACCGCGGAGCTCCCCGGGGGTGCCTGGGGCAGGAGCGCCACTGTCCCCCTGCCGCTGAGCTTGCGGGGGCCGTGGGCCTGGCGCGGCCCGCTTGGGCTGCAGACGAGAAGGCAGGTGCCGGCCGGCCGGGAGGGTGAGCGAGGGCAGAAGGCAGGGACAGTGGGGCTGGGTCAGAGTTCACACAAGAGGCTGCCCTCACCCCTGAGTCCGGTCTGTGCAGCGGGAGCCCCAGGTCCTCGGAGAGCAGGCTCCTCACCCGCCGACAATCCAGCAAGCGTGTGCTTCTCAGCCTTTGGGTCCTGGCGTCGGTGGCAGGCGGGCTGTCCCTGGGGCAGGAAGGGAGCACTGCGTCTTGTTCCCTGCCCCCATCTCCTGAGCCAGGGGCCCATGTGACCTCCACACGGCAGGCAGCGGGAGCACAGGCCGGCCCTGCCTCCAGCCCTGCCTCCTGCGGCCACACTGCTCCCCAGGCCTCTGCTTGTGAGTCTGCACAGCTCAGCCCCCAAGCCCCCCAGAGCCCCTCCCTGCTGGGCCAGCTGGCCTCCCTGGCACCCAGCGATGCTGTATCCCCTCCCCGCGCCCCTGCTGCCCCTGCTGCCCGTCCCCCTGGAGCCCAGAGACTCAGGGTGCACGGCAGAGCGGGGCCTGGACCTCTTTGCATGATGGGCTGGCCGATGGGCACCCCCAGCCTGGCCTGCCCACCGCTCTTCACTGTTAGCTCAGGGCCCTGGTGCCACAGCTGTGCTGGGTGATGACTTGAACACTGCAATACGGGTGATGACTTTCCCAACGTAAATAAAGGACAGTCACAGAAGCATATCCCGCCCTCCAGGGTGGGTGCCGCCTGATCCCGCGTCTGCTCGCCAGGGAGGGGCGGGGAGCGGCTGAGCCCACAGCCAGGAGTGTAGGGCAAGCCAGCCACAGGGGTCAGCTCCGCCCCCCCACCAAGGTCACAGAGCTGTCATTTCATTGGTGAGAAGATAGAGGGGCTGAGCTGGGCAGGCCTGGGCCGGCCCAGGGGGGTGGGCTGCTCTGACACACAGTGTCGGGAGGGTCCCCTTGATCACTGCCCCCCAATCTCAGGGCCTCAGTGCAGTGTCGACTCTGCTGCTGCACCCACATCAAGCAGAGCTGAGCCCCAGGTGGTCCAGCACAGGCCGGTGACAAGGCAGGAAGAACAGCCTGGGGGCCACATGGGCCAAAGAGTGCAGGCTGTGTGTGTGTGTGTGTGTGTGTGTGTGTGTGTGTGCAGGTGCAGGTGTGCTGCAGTGTGTACATGCAGGTGCAGTGGTCTGTCATGGAGGTATGGGAATCCATCGCCTGGGTATGCAGGTCCATGCTCTGTGGTGTGTGTGTGTGTGTGCGCGCGCGTGCACCTGTGGGTGTCCTGTGCATGTTCTGAGTGTGCCGAGCTGTGGGCCCTCCCCACAGGCCAGTGGAGACACTTCCTGTAAACATCTGCCAGGGCTGAGCCGCCCGGAGCCCTCCCGCTCCCGGCTCCTCTTGCTCCTCCACCCCAGCACCGGTCTGCGAGGCCCAGGTGCAGGGAGGGGCAGTGCTTCTGCACACCTGGAGCCGCCGGCCGCGGGGGCCCATTTGGTTACAGCTTTTCTCCCTCCTTTGCATGCAGCCCCTGGGGGCCCAGCGAGAGGCCTGTCCCCAGAGGGAGGCTCCCACTCTGTCGGGTGCCAGACCCGGCGGGGGCACCGCCAGCCACGGGCTCCCAACGCTTCCCGCCACACGGTGCCCAGTTCCCAGACGGGCTGAGAGGCACGCCCCCCCTCAGGCTGCCTGTGGGTGCAGGTGGAGCCCCTCCTGACTGCAGATGGCCCCCCCGGGTGGGAGAGACCCGTGTTCTGTGCCCACTCCCGGGCAGGGCAGCTGGAGAGCCCAGGACCCTCTGCAGAGGAATCCTGGGCGTCCCTCCTGCCCTCCCCAAGTGGGTGGATGGGAGGGGCTTGGGCGCCAGCAGGTGACAAGGCCATGGGCAGGAGCTGCTCCAAGCTGTCGGCCAGAGGGACTGGTAGAGTTAGGACGGCCAGCAGCGCCTGCCGTGTGCAGCCTCGGGCTCAGGAAGGGGCTTGGCAGGGGAGGAGGGTTTTGCTAAACAAATCCTCCTCCCCTCCCAGCCCTGCTCACCCTGCCGGGTCCACCGCCGGCCATTGTCATCAGGAGCCGTCTCCGCCATGGCCGGCCTGGCTCTGCTGGGCCTCTGGGCTCTGCTGGGCCTCGGAGCGGGGGGCCCCCTGTGTCTGTCCCGACAGCTCCGGATGCGGGGGGACTATGTGCTGGGGGGGCTCTTCCCCCTGGGCGCGGCCGAGGACGCGGGCGAGGACGCGGGCCTCGGCCCCAGGACCCAGCCCAACACCACCGTGTGCACCAGGTAGGGAGCGGGGCGGGGGCGGGCAGGCGGGAGGCTCCCAGAGGAGGGGGGTGAGGCGCCGTCCCCTGCAGCCCCGTGTGGCCCCAGGTTCTCCTCGCTCGGCCTGCTCTGGGCCCTGGCCATGATGATGGCCGTGGAGGAGATCAACCGGGGGTCGGCCCTGCTGCCCGGCCTGCGCCTGGGCCACGACATCTTCGACACCTGCTCGGAGCCGGTGGTGGCCATGAAGCCCAGCCTGGGGTTCATGGCCGAGGCGGGCGGCCGCGACGTCGCCGCCTACTGTGACTACTCACGGTACCAGCCCCGCGTGCTGGCCGTCATCGGGCCCCACTCCACGGAGCTGGCCCTGGTCACCGGCAAGCTCTTCGGCTTCTTCCTCATGCCCCAGGTGCGCCCCTGTCCCCCCCACACCTCCCACCCCCTCTGGCCTGCCCCAGGGGGTCCCCCCTGTCCCCCGCGCCTCCCACCCCCTCTGGCCTGCCCCAGGTGCGCCCCTGTCCCCCCCACACCTCCCACCCCCTCTGGCCTGCCCCAGGGGGCACCCCCTGCCTCCCCCATGCCACCCACCCCCTCTGGTCACCTCTCACCCCCTCCTTCCAGCCCCAGGGAGTCCCCCCTGTGACCCCCGAACAACCCACCCCCTCCAGTCCACCCCAGGGGACACCCCCTGCCTTCCCCATGCCACCCACCCCCTCCCTCCGGCCCCAGGGGGTCCCCCCTGTCTCCCCCGCACCATCTACCTCCTCCGGCCCGCCCCAGGGGCCCCCATCGGGACACACACCCCCCCCCCGGCCGCCGCAGGTCAGCTACGGGGCCAGCGCAGACCGGCTGAGCGACCGGGAGGCCTTCCCTTCCTTCTTCCGCACGGTGCCCAGCGACCGTGCCCAGGTGGCGGCCGTGGTGGAGCTGCTGCACGCGCTCCAGTGGAACTGGGTGGCCGCCGTGGGCAGCGACGACGAGTACGGCCGGCAGGGCCTGAGCCTCTTCTCCAGCCTGGCCAGCGCCCGGGGCCTCTGCATCGCCCACGAGGGGCTGCTGCGGGCGGCCACGGGGGGCGCCCACGGCCCGCAGCTGGGCGAGGCGCAGGGGCTGCTGCGCCAGGTGAACCAGAGCCGCGTGCAGGTGGTGGTGCTCTTCTCCTCCGCCCGGGCGGCCCGCGCCCTCTTCAGCTTCAGCATCCGCTCCGGGCTGGCGCCCAAGGTGTGGGTGGCCAGCGAGGCCTGGCTGACGTCGGCCCCGGTGCTGTCCCTGCCCGGCCTGGCCCGCGTGGGCACCGTGCTGGGCTTCCTGCAGCGGGGCGCCCCGATGCCCGACTTCCCGGCCTACGTGCACGCCCGCCTGGCCCGGGCCGCGGACCCCGCCTTCTGCGCCTCGCTGGGCGCGGGGCGGCCGGGCCCCGAGGGGCACGTGGCGGGGCCCGGCTGCCCGCAGTGCGACCACGTCTCGCCGGAGGACGTGTCCACCGGCCTCCTGCACCACCAGGCCTTCTCGGCCTACGCCGCCGTGTACAGCGTGGCCCAGGCCCTGCACAACACGCTGCTCTGCACCGCCTCGGGCTGCCCCCCACGCGCGCCCGTGAGGCCCTGGCAGGTGAGGACGAGGGAGCTGGGCCGGCCCCGCGTGTGCCCAAGGGGAGGAGGGGGCAGAGGAGGGGGCCTGGGACTGGCTGCTGGGACAGCCCCGCCCCCCCTGGCTCCCCACCCACTGCCCACACCCCGCCAGCTCCTGGAGAACATGTACAACATGAGCTTCCGGGTGCGGGGCCTGCCGCTGGGGTTCGACGCCAGCGGGAACGTGGACATGGCCTACGACCTGAAGCTCTGGGTGTGGCGGGACCCGGAGCCCGAGCTGCGCACGGTGGGCAGCTTCGACGGCCGCCTGCAGCTGCAGCTGCCCCAGATGCGCTGGCACACGCCCGGGAACACGGTGAGTGCCGGGCCGGGCCCCACCGCACAGCCGCTCAGCGGCAAGGCCCGCCCGCCTGGGGGGGGCGGGGGCGGGGGCGAGGGCGAGGGGGCAGCCGTCCCAGGCCCTGGGGGTGCACCCGGCCTGCGGGCGAGGCCTGAGTCCGAGGCCCCGCTCCAGAGGCCCGTGTCCCAGTGCTCCAGGAAGTGCCAGGAGGGCCAGGTGCGCCGGGTGAAGGGGTTCCACTCCTGCTGCTACGACTGCATGGACTGCAAGGCGGGCAGCTACCGGCGCAGCCCAGGTCAGCCCTTCCGGCCAGCCCCTCCCTGCTGGTGCATGTCGCTGAGCAGGCGTGGGGAGGGCCCCTCAGGGGGAGGACGCACGGCCCAGAGGGTCCTGGCATGTCCTGGCTCAGAGGCGGGAGCCCGAGGCAGAGGCAAGCCGCGCCCCAGCGCCCTCTCCCCTCGGCCCGCAGATGACCTCTCCTGCACCCCGTGCGGCCAGGACCAGTGGTCCCCCGACAGGAGCCTGCGCTGCTTCGCCCGCAGGCCCCGGTGGCTGGCCTGGGGGGAGCCGGCCGTGCTGGTGCTGCTCGCGCTGCTGGCCCTGACACTGGGCCTGGTGCTGGCGGCCCTGGGGCTGTTCGTCCGGCACCGGGACAGCCCCCTGGTGCAGGCCTCGGGCGGGCCGCGGGCCTGCTTCGGCCTGGCCTGCCTGGGCCTGGCCTGCCTCAGCGTCCTCCTGCTGCCCGGCCGGCCCCGGCCCGCCCGCTGCCTGGCCCAGCAGCCGCTGCTGCACCTGCCCCTCACGGGCTGCCTGAGCGCCCTCCTCCTGCGGGCGGCCGAGGTCTTTGTGGAGGCGGAGCTGCCGCCCGGCTGGGCGCACCGGCTGCGCGGGCACCTGCGGGGGCGGAGGGCCTGGCTGGCGGTGCTGCTGGCCATGCTGGCGGAGGCGGCGCTGTGCACCTGGTACCTGGTGGCCTTCCCGCCGGAGGTGGTGACGGACTGGCAGGTGCTGCCCAGGGAGGCGCTGGTGCACTGCCGAGTGCGCTCCTGGGTGGGCTTCGCCCTGGTGCACGCCGGCAACGCCGTGCTGGCCTCGCTCTGCTTCCTCGGCACCTTCCTGGTGCACCGCCAGCCCGGCCGCGGCGAGGGCGCCCGCAGCCTCACCTTCGCCATGCTGGCCTACTTCATCACCTGGGTCTCCTTCGTGCCCCTCTTCGCCAACGTGCACGTGGCCTACCAGCCCGCTGTGCAGATGGGTGCCAGCCTCCTCTGCGTCCTGGGCATCCTGGCCACCTTCCACCTGCCCAGGTGCTGCCTGCTACTGCGGCAGCCGGCGGGCACCCTGCCCGCGTCCTCCCAGGGAGGGGGTCCTGGCGGTGCCGGCGGGCCGGGCGGCAGCAGGGGTGGAGCCCTCGACCCAGCGACCTCGCCCCAGGGCGCCCAGACCTAGCTCCTTCCTGCAGAGCAACCTGCAGGCCCACCCCTAGGTCCTGACCCCAGGCTGACTGCTGCCTGTGACCCAACGCCCGCAGGGCCTGTGCTTGGCCCTGTGAGGTCTCACCACGTGGGCACCAGTCAGGCTGTCCCATCCAGCCAGGCCTGCCCAGGGACCCCACGGCCACACCCAGGCGGAGGGCTCAGGGAAGCCACAGCTGGGTCACCTGCAGGTCAAGCTGGGCATCATTCACCTGGCTGGGCCTAGCCTAGGTCCCCCACCCAGCACCCCTCCGATCACCACTGGGGTGGGAGGTGGGTGAGTGTGCTACAGCCGCCCTAACATGGGCCCCAGTGCAGGACGGAGGCCCCTTGGGGTGGACACCAGCTTCCTCTCCCCCCCGCCCCCCGTCCTGGCTGGAGCCGATAAGAGGGGTAAGCCCACCGCCAGCACCGCGGACAGAGCCTGGCTGGGTGGGGGGTTCAGCACCAAGGCCAGCGCCCGCCGTCAGGACCCCTGGAACCAGGAGCCAGCACCGTGAACAGAAGACGTGGCGCCAGGACCTGGAGGGCTGCTAGCAACTGGCCAGGCCCCGGGGGAGGCTGGCCCAGCCCCCACACAGGAATCTGAGGGAGCTGGCAGGAGGGAGGAGACACAGGCACAGTCAGTCCCATAAAATTAAATGCTTTTTAGTGTTTAAAATAGCATTTACACAGAAGCAGCTCCGTTCACTGTCCGACGCCCTGTGACTTGACACAGCATCTACACGCAGACACGACGCAGTATCCACACTGCAGACACCTGCAGGCCAGCTCGCCGGGAGGAGGCGTGTGCGTGGGGGGGGGGCGGTCACCTGAGGACAGCAGGAGGGCAGGCCGGCCCCTCTCCCCAGACCCGTCCTGCAGCAGCGGGGCATCCGTGGGCCAGGCCAGGCCTCCCGTCTCCCCCTCACCGGCCCCCACGCTCAGACACGCCCTGTGCCTCCACGTGGGGACACACAAACCGCTCCGGCTGCTGCGCGGCTGACCTGGCCACCGCCTCCCACAGGACACGGGCCAAGAAATAAATAAATAAATTACACCGACCCGGGCGGCCAGGGAGGTCTGGGGGCTCCCTTCCAGCCCAGCATGGCCGCCCCAGTCTGAGCAAGAAGCACAGGGCCTGCACACGGGGTGACCGTGGGGACCAGGCCAGGGACCTGTCTGCAGTGCTGGGGGCACACGGGGTCCCCGAGGCCCTCGCCACAGGGCAGGTCAGACCCGCCTGCAGAGGCCCCCCAAGTCCGCATGGCCAGGGCTGCTCTGGCCAGGACAGACGGGCTGCCCCCACGCTGACTAGCCCAGACCCCACAGCACAGCCCCTGCTGCACATGGACAGCTGCCTGACCCCCGACGGCCACAGCTAAGACGAGGCCACACAAGCTCCAGAGGCAGCGCCTCCAGGGGGGACAGCAGGACCCCCAGCCCCACGGCGAGGCCTCCCGGGGGAGGGCACCCCGTCCTCGGTCACATGATGTCGACGAAGAACTCGCAGGGGTTCCCCATGGCCTTCTGGAAGGACTGGCGGCTGCCCGTCAGCTCGGGGGGGACGGCGGCCAGCTCCCGGACGGGGGGCCCCCCCGGCGGCCCGCCCACCACCGAGTACGCCTTCGTCAGGGGGTGCAGCGGGGGGAGCCCCGGGGCGGCGGTGGAGGCCTGGCTGTGCGGGCTGCCGCCGCGGCTGAGCTGGCTGCCGGGACGCTCCCACCAGCCACCGCCGCCCGCCCTGCTCGGGGCCGTGTGGTTGGACTCGCTGCCGCTGCCCCCGGCTCCCGGCCTCCGGTGCTCCTGCTCGCGGCCCGGGGCCCGCCGGCTGCTCCCGCCCGCGCTCCGCGTGGACCCGCTGCTTTTGCTTCCTGGGATGGAGGAAGGGGGGACGGGCTGTCGGTGCCAGGCCTGCCTCTTCCAGACTGAAGGCTGCCGGCACCAGAGACGGGAGGGAGGGGCAGCCATGCAGACACCAGGGCAGGAGCGGACCCGCCCAGAGACACAGGCGCAGCTGCAGCAGGCGGGGGCGGGGGGGGGGGGTGAGGCAGGCAGGGACACGGGGGCCAGCGTGGTGCCCCCACACCTCACTCCGACGCCTGCACCGAAGGCCTGGCCTTGCCCCTGAGAAACTGAGGCTCCCGCTGGACAACCTGGGCCCCCACCCTGACCCCCACCTTCCGCCGGACCCCGGGGCCCTGGCTAACGGCGCGGCCCAGCCTCGTCCGGATTCGCAGAAACACCGGGAGCCCAGGGATGCCGGCCGGCGAGGGACACGCCACGAGGGACGCCGGGCAGGGCCCTGGCTTACCGGCCCCGAGGGTCCAGCCGCTAGTCCTCAGTCTAAGGCTTGCTCAGCACAAAGCAAGGGATACATGAGTTACACACCGGGCCCGCTGGCCCCAGGCAGCCTGCTCTCCTGCCCGGCCGCCCGCCCGGCCTCGCCTGCGGGGTCAGCTGCCTGGCGTCTCCCAGACCCTGGGCCCTCAGGCCAGCCTTCCTCATGGAATGTCTCCCCCATCTCCTCGCTCCCCACATGCCCGGAGGGCGTGGTTATGGGGATGGACGGCCTCTGGCTCCCGCTGTCTGTCCTCCACTGGGTCCTGGAGACCCTCTGTGCTCCCAGCCCAGGCCACCCCCTTCCCTCCCCGTCTCCTGCTTCCTGCCTCCGCCCCCCACCCCAGAGCCTCCAGGCTCCTCCTCCCCACCTCCCTCAGCACTCCTCCCTCGCAAAGGGAGCCCCCCCAGACTCCAAGCACAGAGCAGGCAGAGGGCGGGCATGCAGGGCCGAGGGCGGGCACATGGGCAGAGGGCGGGCACACGGGGCCGAGGGCGGGCACATGGGCAGAGGGCGGGCATGCAGGGCAGAGGGACGGGCACATGGGCAGAGGAGCGGGCACGGGGCCGAGGGCGGGCACATGGGCCGAGGGCGGGCACATGGGCCGAGGGCGGGCACATGGGCAGAGGGCGGGCACGGGGCAGAGGGCGGGCACGCAGGGAGCACAGTAGGGAGTGGGCACCCGCAGGCAGGCTCTCACCTTCGCTCTGCTGGCTCCCGGCACTGCCGCTGCCGTAGCTGAAGCCAGGGTCCTGGTAGGCGGGCGGGAAGCAGGGCGGCGGCCCCGGGTACTGGTAGGGGTAGCCCTGCGCCAGCGGCCAGGGCGCCGGGTGGGGCAGCGGGGCCAGCGTGTCCTGGTCGGAGGCCCCGCTGGAGCCGCTGTTGAGGTTCAGGGCCTCGAGAGCTGCGAGAGGGGAGGCCGGTGAGGGCGGGCTGGTGAGGGCCGGCTGGTGAGGGTGGGCTGTGAGGGCGGGCTGGTGTGAGGGGGGGCTGGTGAGGGCCGGCTGGTGAGGGCGGGCTGTGAGGGCGGGCTGGTGTGAGGGGGGGCTGGTGAGGGCGGGCTGGTGAGGGCGGGTGAGGGCGGGCTGGTGAGGGTGGGCTGGTGTGAGGGCGGGCTGTGAGGGCGGGCTGGTGTGAGGGCGGGCTGGTGAGGGCGGGCTGTGAGGGCGGGCTGTGAGGGCGGGCGGGCGGGTGAGGGCAGGCTGGTGAGGGTGGGTGGGCTGGTGAGGGCGGGCGGGCTGGTGAGGGTGGGCGGGGCTGGCCAGTGAGGGTGGGCAGGCCGGTGAAGGCGGGTGAGGGCGGGTGGGGCCGACCGGTGAGGGTGGGTGGGGCGGGTGGTGAGGGTGGGCGGGGCTGGCCGGTGAGGGTGGGCAGGCCGGTGAAGGCGGGTGAGGGCGGGTGGGGCCGACCGGTGAGGGTGGGTGGGGCGGGTGGTGAGGGTGGGCGGGGCGGTCCGGTGAGGGTGGGTGGGGCGGGTGGTGAGGGTGGGCGGGGCGGTCCGGTGAGGGCGGGAGGGGCGGGCAGGCCCCGGGGACCCCTTTCTCCCCCCGCGCGGCCCCCACTCACTGCTGCACAGGTCCCCGAAGACGTAGTAGCACTGCTCGGAGAAGGTGACCTTGTTCACCGTGTGCCGCAGGAAGCCGCGCTTGAGCATGCCGCTGGCGAACTTGCGCGCCTCCCGCCGCTCCTTGAAGCCCTCCACACGCGTGTACAGCCAGTCCACCACGTCTGCGCCTGCGAGGCTCACGTCAGCCGGGGCGGCCGTGCACGTGTGTGTGTGCGCGTGTGTGTGCGTGTGCACGTGTGTGTGTGTGTGTGTGCACACGTATGTGCAGCCAGTCCACCACGTCCGCGCCTGCGGGGCTCACATCAGCCGGGGCGGCCGTGCACGTGTGTGTGTGTGTGTGTGCGCGTGTGTGTGCGTGTGCACGTGTGTGTGTGTGTGCGCGCGCACCGCCCGCCCGCCCCGGCACGAGGGACGCTCACCGATGACGGCGTTGGCGATGGTGATCTTGAGCCACATGCGGTCACGGATCTCCAGCCCCGAGTCGGGCAGCTGCATGGCCCGGACCACGGCGCCCATGTCACTCTTCACCGTCAGCGGCGCCTCCTCCAGCTCTACAAGCACACCCTCCTCAGCGGACAGGCCGCCGCCCACGGTGCCCGCCGCCCGCGGTGCCCGCCGCCCACGGTGCCCGCCGCCCACGGTGCCCGCCGCCCACGGTGCCCGCCGCCCACGGTGCCCGTCGCCCGCCCTCAGTGCCCGCCGCCCGCGGTGCCCGTCGCCCGCGGTGCCCGTCGCCCGCGGTGCCCGCCGCCCGCGGTGCCCGCCGCCCATGGTGCCCGCCGCCCGCAGTGCCCGCCGCCCGCGGTGCCCGCCGCCCGCGGTGCCCGTCGCCCGCCCGCAGTGCCCGCCGCCCGCGGTGCCCGTCGCCCGCCCGCAGTGCCCGTCGCCCGCGGTGCCCGTCGCCCGCCCGCAGTGCCCGTCGCCCGCGGTGCCCGTCGCCCGCCCGCGGTGCCCGCCGCCCGCGGTGCCCGCCGCCCGCGGTGCCCGCCGCCCGCGGTGCCCGCCGCCCGCCCGCAGTGCCCGTCGCCCGCCCGCGGTGCCCGCCGCCCGCGGTGCCCGTCGCCCGCGGTGCCCGTCGCCCGCAGTGCCCACCGCACCCTCCGAGGCCCGAGCTGGGAGCCCCCGGCCGAGGGAGGGGTGGGGCCGTCTCCTCCTGGAGCTGCTTCCATAGGGTCCCCCACAAACCAGGGGAGGCCGCCCCCACCATGGCCACAGCCCAGGGGGACATCAGCACCCCCCCAGGGCTGTTAGTCGTGTCAGAGGCAGAAAGCAGATGGAGCTCCACACAGGCATCCATACACACATATATGTGCATGCGCATGCACACACGCAGTTGTCTGCCCTGCCACAGAAGACCCCGGGCAGGGCCCAGGCTGGCTCGGCCTCTCAGGCCTCCCCACTGCAGAGGGTGTGCACGGGAGGAGCCTCCGACCGGGGCCCTGCAGCAGCAGGACGGAGGCCGGCAGGGCGCCCCGGGGTGGGGGCCGCACCAGGCGCCTCGGCCTGGCCTGGGCCCTGGGCCTCAGTTCCCGAGCTGAGAGCTGCCGCTTACGTGGGGCGCCAGGCACAGAGCTGGTCAGTGAGGAGGAGCTGGTGCGTGTGACGGCGCTGGAGCAGGGGCTGGTCCCGTAGCGGGGCAGGGCTCCGGTCAGCGCCGCCGTGTGCGACAGCCAGGCGGCCGGGTCGATGGGCCGGACAGGGTCAGCTGGGAGGCCGCAGACGGCAACAAAAAGAAAGATGGACAGGCACAGACAGGACAAAGTGGAGCACAGGGCCAAGCGGAGAGAGGCCGTAGGCCGGCTGGGCACCCCACCCCCAGCCCCACCACCCCCCACCACCCCCCACCCGCCAGCCCTCCCCACCCCCCTACCCTCACCCCCAACCCCCCAACCCCCCCCACCTGCCAGCCCTCCCCACCCCCCTACCCTCACCCCCAACCCCCCAACACTCCCACCCGCCAACCCACGGTCACTCACCCCTTGGGACGGTGAAGTAGCTCCGGGGGGTGGGGTCCCAGCACTTGGCCACCGTGAGGCTGATGGGCCTGCAGGGCAGGGACGGCCGGTCGTGTGGACGAGGACCCGTGTGCCCGGGTGCCCCCCTCACATGCCCCCCGCCTCACCCCGTCTGCCCCCCCTCACCCCGTCTGCCCCCCGTCTGCCCACCGTGGCCCCCTCACCCCGTCTGCCCCCCCCTCACCCCGTCTGCTCCCCGCCTGCCCCCTTCACCCCGTCTGCCCCCCCCTCACCCCGTCTGCTCCCCGTCTGCCCCCTTCACCCCGTCTGCCCCTCCTCACCCCGTCTGCCCCCCGTCTGCCCCCCTCACCCCGTCTGCCCCCCATGGCCCCCCCTCACCCCGTCTGCCCCCCGTCTGCCCCCCTCACCCCGTCTGGGACACGATCTCCCGCAGCACCCGCACGGCGTCGTCGTTGCTCATGTTCTCGAAGTTGACGTCGTTCACCTGGGGGACGGGGTCCGGGCGGTGGGTGGGGGTGGGGGGATGGGGGGGGTGCAGTGGGGGTGGAGGGGTGCAGACCTCTCGCCCCACCGGCCGAGCCCCACCTGCAGCAGCATGTCCCCCGGCTCGATGCGGCCGTCGGCGGCCACGGCCCCGCCCTTCATGATGGAGCCGATGTAGATGCCGCCGTCGCCCCGGTCGTTGCTCTGGCCCACGATGCTGATGCCCAGGAAGTGGTGCCGCTCTGGGGGGGAGCAGTCAGCAGCCCACCCACCCCCGGGCCCCACACCCGCCCTGGTCCCCCACACCCCGCCCTGGTCCCCCACACCCGCCCTGGTCCCCCACACCCGCCCTGGTCCCCCACACCCTGCCCTGGTCCCCCACACCCCGCCCCGGCCCCCCACACCCCGCCCCGGGCCCCCACACCCGCCCCGGCCCCCCACACCCCGCCCCGGGCCCCACACCCGCCCCGGTCCCCCACACCCGCCCCGGCCCCCACACCCCGCCCCAGGCCCCCACACCCCACCCCGGCCCCCACACCCCGCCCTGGTCCCCACACCCACCCCGGTCCCCCACACCCCACCCTGGTCCCCCACACCCCGCCCTGGTCCCCACACCCCGCCCCGTCCCCCACACCCCGCCCAGGCCCCCCACACCCCGCCCCGGCCCCCCACACCCGCCCTGGTCCCCCACACCCTGCCCCGGCCCCCACACCCGCCCCGGCCCCCACACTCCACCCCAGGCCCCTCTGGGCCCCACCCCGGCCCCCCCACCCCCCCCCGGCCCCCGCACTCTGCCCCAGGCCCCTCTGGGCCCCACCCCGGCCCCCACACTCTGCCCCAGGCCCTCACACCCTGCCCCCGGCCCCCCTGGGCCCCGCCCACCCAGGGCACCAGAGCCTCACCCATGTTGAGCGTGACGGTGATGATGTTCAGGGACATGGTGGAGTCGGTGATGCTGCTGAAGGAGGAGGCCTGGAGGGCCGGGCGCGGGTGAGGCTGGGAGGGCAGCACAGACCCCGCCTGCCCGCCCGCCTGTACCTACGCGGTCCGCCTGCCGGAGGCGCTGCTTCCGCCGCCGCCGCTTGTGCTTCCGGATGAGCCGGGAGGAGGTGCTCTGCTCGGTGGAGCTGCTCAGCCTGGGGTTGCAGGTGGCAGGCCAGCGGGGCAGGGCACAAAGGTCAGAGGTCAGAGGTCAGGGGCTGCAGGGGGGCTGCAGGGAGAAGGTGCCCACACACGGGCCTCCCACCCCCTGCACATCGGTGAGGGGCGGGGTCCGGAGGTGGCAGGGGAGGCAGGTGGTGTCTGTCAGAACCTCAGCTCCCGGCTGCACACATCCCGCGCTGCACGTGTGCGACATGCAAACCCCACACCCACGGGTAACATGAGACAACACCACACCAGGTGAGCCACCATGGCCTCCACAATGGCACACACTGGTGCGTGCACCAAGTGCACATGGGCACGCCTATGTGCATCCACACACATGTACACGACACACACACATTCCTGTGAAACACCCGTGCATGCACGTGCACGACACACACCCCACACACCCATGTGCACACACATGCCTACTTGCACACACACCCACAGCCACCACACTGTGCACCCACACAGCCACAATACTCACACACACATACATGCCTGTGCACATGGCCGCACACACCTGCACACATGTCAAAACACAGAGCACACATCTTCGCACATGCCCGCGCACACACGTGCCCACACGCCTGCACACGCACACGTGCCCGCGCACCGGCTCGTGTTGTCGTCCTCATCGGTGTCGATGAAGCTGCTGGACTCGAGCTCACTGCTCAGCAGGGTGGAGGCGCTGTCGGGGGGCAGGCCCAGGTCCCGGCGCCGGTCCCCCCGCGGGTGCCCGTTGGCCCGGGCGGCTGTGGGGACAGGAGGGACGTGAGCCGACGACAGTGGCCCGTGGCCTCCGGGGGCAGCGGGAGGGAGGGGCTGGGGGAGGGCCGGGGCCTCTCCCCAGAGACCCCCGGCGGGCAGGGCGCGGGGGCAGGGGGACTGGGGGGCTGGAGGAGGGCTGGGGCCTCTCCCCAGAGACCCCCGGCGGGCACGGCGCGGGGGCAGGGGGGCTGGGGGGCTGGAGGAGGGCTGGGGCCTCTCCCCAGAGACCCCCGGCGGGCAGGGCGCGGGGGCAGGGGGACTGGGGGGCTGGGGGGAGGGCTGGGGCCTCTCCCCAGAGACGCCCCGGTGGGCAGGGGGGCTGGGGGGCTGGAGGAGGGCTGGGGCCTCTCCCCAGAGACCCCCGGCGGGCAGGGTGCGGGGGCAGCGGGAGGGAGGGGCTGGGGGAGGGCCGGGGCCTCTCCTCAGAGACCCCAGGCGGGCAGGGTGCGGGGGCAGCGGGAGGGAGGGGCTGGGGGAGGGCCGGGGCCTCTCCTCAGAGACCCCAGGCGGGCAGGGTGCGGGGGCAGCGGGAGGGAGGGGCTGGGGGAGGGCCGGGGCCTCTCCCCAGAGACCCCCGGCGGGCAGGGCGCGGGGGCAGGGGGACTGGGGGGCTGGAGGAGGGCTGGGGCCTCTCCCCAGAGACCCCCGGCGGGCAGGGCGCGGGGGCAGGGGGACTGGGGGGCTGGAGGAGGGCTGGGGCCTCTCCCCAGAGACGCCCCGGTGGGCAGGGGGACTGGGGGGCTGGAGGAGGGCTGGGGCCTCTCCCCAGAGACGCCCCGGTGGGCAGGGGGGCTGGGGGGTGTGGCCGTTACCCTCCTCCCGGTTCCGGTGTCGGGCTCGCTCCCGCCGATGGCTGACCATGGACTCGGTGCCCGTCTCGTTGTCCATCCCATCGCGGCTGCTGGCCACGTTCGGGCTGTGCCGACAAGAGTGCTGGGCAGACGGGGCCCCCAGGGCCGGGACCCTTTCGGCCCTTGCCTCCCCCCTGCCCGGCGAGACCCTGACCCCACCCACCTGCTCAGCTGCCCGCCCCCCGACAGCCAGGACCCACAGGACATGGGCTCAGTCCCCCCAGTTCTTACTGGAACGATGGGGGCCGGGAGTCCCCGATGCCACCCATCCGCTCCAGGGCGGGGGGCAGGTCGGCGTGGCCGTCGGTGGCCTGAGAGCCCGAGTCCGAGTGCGCGCCCTCCGCCAGGACCAGCTGCGGGGACAGTGAGGCTCAGCGGAGCCCAGGGCCCAGCCCCCTCCGGTCCTGGGGCCCCCACCTCAGCCAACGCCCCTGCCAACGCCCCCAGGCTCACCCAGGAGACCACTCGGCCATTGAAGCAGGGCAGCCGGGCATTGTCCGCAGAGATCTCCTCCTTCACCACCCTGCAGGCAACACACCCGTGAGCCCCCTCATCCCCCCCCCACAGACACAGACACACCACACACAGACACAGACACACACACAGACACACACCACACACACACACACACACCACACACACACAGACACACACAGAGACACACACACACCACACACAGACACACACACACACCACACACACAGAGACACCACACACATAGACACACACAGAGACACCACACACAGACACACACCACACACACAGAGACACACAGACACACACACACACCACACAGACACACACACACCACAAACAGACAGACACACACAGAGAGACACACAGAGACACACACACCACACACAGACACACAGACACACAGACCACACACACACACACTACACACACACCACACACAGACACACACACAGAGACACACACACCACAGACACAGACACACACAGAGACACACACACACCACACACACAGACACACACACACCACACACAGACACAGACACACACACCACACACACACCACACACACAGACACAGACACACACACCACACACACAGACACACACACACACCACACACACAGACACACACACACACCACACAAACACAGACACACACACAGACACACACACAGACACACACACACACCACACACACACAGAGACACACACACCACACACACAGACACACACACACACACACCACACATACACAGACACACAGACACAGACACACCACACATACACAGACACACACAGACACACAGACACAGACACAGACACAGACACAGACACACACACACACACACACACACACACGGCCGCTCTCCCCAGGGTGCTCCCAGAGAAGCCCCCTCCGACCAGGTGCCCAGCACATGCCCAGCTGTCAGTCTGTGTGGCTGTCCCGCCCCCACATTCTCTTCCTGGGCTCTAGTGCTCCTGCAGACCCCGGCCTCACACCTGCACCTCCAGGCCGCCTAGCTCTGTGTGCGCCCAGGGGAAGAGCTTCGTCTGGCTTCTCCTCTGCACGCCCCTCAGCCCAGCACAGGACACCATGGACACAGGCAGGTCGAGATGGCTCAGTACACGCACCCCTCATGTATACCACACGCACACGCACACGCACACGCACACGCACACGCCCGCCCGCCCAGGGAGACAAGCAGACCCCACTTGCTGCACCTGCTCAACTCCGGGCCTGAGAGGCCAGCTGGGCCCACTGAGCGGTCAGCGAGCCCCTCCCTGACTCTGCACAGTGGCCAGACCCACTGCACAGCGGGCAGCCAGGCCTATTTCTTTATTATCATCTCTAAACGTTTTTGTTGATTCCAAAGAGGAAGGGAGAGGGAGAGAGAGACAGAAACATCAAGGATGGGAGAGAATCGGATCAGCTGCCTCATGCTCGCCCCACACGAGGGAGCAGCCTGCAGCCTGCAGACGTGCCCTGACCGGGAACTGAACCGCGACCTGCTGGTTCACAGGCCGACACTCAACCAGAGCCACGCCAGCTGGACACCAGGCCCATGACCCCGGGGCTCAGAAACAGGTGCGTGTGGGGGTCAAGGTTTCAGGCCCCGAGGTAAGGGGAGCAGCAGCCAGCACAGCTGGCAGGGGCCCTGGGCAGGCCAGGCAGGTGGGGCCTGCAGCTGAGGGACCGAGACGCCTTCCCACCCAGCACCGCGGGCTCTCCACGCCGAGGACCATGCCCAGCGGAGACGGGGCCAGGGCACAGGGCAGGAGGCAGCCTCACCAGGCGGGTCCTGGGCAGCAGCAGGTGGCAGGAGCCCCCAGGGCTGGCACCCTGGGGTCCTGACCAGGGAGCACAGCTTCACACACAGGGAGGGGGCCCTGGACCCTGGGGCAGCGCAGGCTGAGGAGACAGGCCAGCCTGGGGGGAGGGGGCACCCCCAGACGCCTTTAGGGCCAGCCCCACAGGCATCCCTAAGCTGGGCACCTCAGCCTGCAGAGGAGGTCCCTTCTCAGGACCTCATGGCCCCACATCTGCTGCCCCCACTCAGTCCGCAGCCCTGCAGACCCAGGGAGGCCGTGACGCAGCCCAGACCCGAGGCTGGCACCACAGGAAGACCTGGGGTGGGGCGGGGACATGGGGACCCGCCAGCTGCAGCTGACTGACCAGGGGGAGGGGGGAAGGAGGGGGGAGGGGGCCTCATCCCCACACTGCCACACCAAGCTCCGCCCCTTTCTGATTCACCCACAGGGAGGCACCCCCTTCCACAGGCACACGGCTCCCTCAGAGGCTCAGGAGCACCCAAGCCCCTCCTGCCCGCCTGGCCAGGACCTCCCCATGACCTCCCACCAAGGGCTGCCTGAGGCACAGGGCCCTCCCGGCCCTCAGAGGCCCTGCTCCCCGGCCCTCGCCAGCCTGAGCACCCGTCCGCACCCCGTCTACACGTGTGACAGAGCATCCTGCGTCCACCGGGGGGCAGGGCGACCGGGCCCCACAGGCCCAGCCCAGCGTGGCCGGGACCAGAGGGAGGAGGGCACCGATGGAGGAGGAGCCGCTGGAGCCCCCAGGGCAAACGGCTCAGGCTCCCCTCCTCCGGGAGTGCCCCATGCTGGCGGGGAGCCGGGGGCAGCACCTCCTGACAGCCCTGAGGCGCTCTGCCCAGCGAGGCCTCCACAGCATCTCCTCGGAGGCCGCCCAGGCACCCCTCACCCGCCAGCCCTGCAGGCCCACCCTGGGGGCCGAGTGTGGCCAGGGCCCAGGAGGACCCGAGGGGCCAGCCCCCCCTTGGGCAGCTCGAGGGGCGTCCACAGGGGCACAGGGTCCCCATCCTCTCCTCCCGCCACAGGGCAGGGAGCTGGCAGAGAGCTGGCACAGGGCAGGGGAGGAAGGGGTGTCCCCAAGCCCAAAAAGAGCCCCCCAGAGTCCAGGGAAGGGGGCTCTGTGCCCCACGTCCTGCCACAAGCTTGGGGGGGGGGACCAACACCTCCTGGGCTACTGGCCCCAAATGGCACCGCTACGGAGAGCAGAGTGGGACAGTCAGGCCCCACCCAGCCCCATCCAGGCCCGTAAGCAGGCGGCCCAGAGACCAGAGGTAGCGGCCCTGGAGGGGCTGTGAGCCCAGGACCCTCCGAGTCACGGAACTGAGGGCTCCCTCTTCCCCACACCACACCCCCACAGGCCAGGTCAGAGCAGCTGACATGCATGGGAAAGTGGGGGGCAGGGGCAGGACCCCTCTACCCACCTGGCCAAGGACACCCATGGGAAGACGCTCCCTCCCCTCACTCCGTGGCCAGGACAGACTCAGGGAACTCCAGCCCCGCCCGCAGTGGGGCGTGGGTTGGGGCGGAGCAGGAGGCCCGGCTCACCAGGGTGCTCTCACAGCTTTCCACTGAGGCCGCCCTGTCACGGACCTGCCCGCCCGCCCCACACCTCCAGTCACGTCCGCTAGGCACCCAGTCTCACTCGCACTGAAGTGTAACAGATCACCCCTCCCAGCGGGAGCCAGCCCGCCGAATACACGGCTACAGGCGGGCACTCCGGGGGCTCTGCAGACAGAGCTGAGGGGCAGCGGAGGGGGTTCTTCGGGGGCCTGGTGGCCAGGGACCCGGGAGGACATACGCCAGCCCGTGCTGTCTGCCCAAACCCATTCCCCTGCTGACCCCCCTCAAACCCAGGGCTGCCCCATCTCCCAGCGGGCCCTGCTCGCTGCCCCACGCCCAGCCACTTCCAGGCCTGAAGAACTCCAGGGCTGCTCCAGCCGTCTGCCCACCCTCCTCCCAGGCCAGGGACCCACGTGGCCTGCAAACCCCCAGCAGGCCGGCCTCTGCAGGGTGTGCGTGTGGGGTGGGTGACCCATGGCTCTGGCCCCAGGACAAAAACTGGGACCTGGGCACACGCCCTGGCACAGGCTCGGTGTGGCTTCGGTTGGTGACAGAGGTGTGTGTGAGCTCGGTAACCTCTGCGAAAGCAGTAAACTGAGCCACACTGGGCCGGCTGAGCGTCCACCTATGAACCAGGAAGTCAGGGTTCAATTCCAGGTCAGGGCACAGGCCGGGGTTGTGGGCTCTGACTCTCTCATCGTGAATGTTTCTATCGCTCTTGCCTCTCCCTTCCGAGAGGAAGGGAGAGGCAAGAGCGATAGCCCTTCCTCTCGGAAACCAGTGAAAACATACTTTAAAAATAAACACGGAATAACAGACTAAGCTGAAAACGAAAGTGCCCTTTCACACGGCAGACGGTCACGGCCACAGCAGCCCGGACCCCGAGGGGCAGCCCCCGGGGGCTGCGAGGGGCTCGGGAGGCCCCACTGCAGGCCGGCCCCATGCGGCTCCTGAGCCGAGCCAGCAGGAAGGCCGGCCACCCAGGCCGGGGCGTCCTGCTGTCCGTCCGAGGCCGCCAGGGACACACCCACCCAATCCCGCCCCTTAGTTGGGGGTGTGGGGGGGGCAGCAGAGTCCAGTTGTCCAAACTCCCCCAGGTCCTCAGGAGCTGCACAGTGGCCCCGGCCTGACCCGGCCTGGCTGCCCAGGGCCCGGGCCAACCACAGGATCCAGGAAGTGGCCTCAATGTCAAAGTCCCCGGACACGGCCCCACACAAGGACGTGGGCACACCTGCTCGGCCCACGGCCCGGCCCCCCTCCCCGGCCCTGCCGAGCGGGGGACTCGGGTTACCGGTGGCCGAGCCAGGTCAGGCCTGGAGCCCACAGCCCGCCGCCCGCTCCCGGCCCCGGGGGCCAGGCCAGCGCCCGTGGGGAGTCCTCTCCACAGACGGCCCCCAGGACCGGGCGCTGGAGGCTGACGGGAGCCCGCTCCCAGGACACCGAGTGCCGTGTGGCCCGGCGGGGACAGAGGCCCAATGGCAAGCCACCCAGGGCGGGCGTGGGTGGAGTGACCCTTGACCTCTGCACTGACCTCCGGATCCCGGAAGAGTGGGGCCAGGGGTAGGCTGTCCTGAGCCTCCAGACAGATCCGTACCCCTGTGCCAGGTCCCGAGTTCCCTCCCCACCCTAACCAGGGACCCACCCCTTCCCCAACGACACTCCCACTCCGTGAATGTTCCTGGGACCCCAGGCTCCCCGAGGCACAGCTCTCCAGGCACCTGTGCGCCCCCCAACACACACACACACACACACACACACACACACACACACACACACAGGGGGCGGCGGCCCTGAGTCTGAGCGGTCCCACATGGGGCCACAGACTGAACCCGGAGGTTACACCGGGCCCGGGGCGGGAGGGGGAGCAGGACGCCGCTGCCCGCCGCCCTGGGTCCTCGGCTCCGGGGCCCCACGTGCCTCCGCGCGGGGCACGGACAGGTGGACACACACCGTGCGGGGCGGAGGATCGGCCCCGGCCCCGGCCCCGGCCCCGCCCGCGCGGACAGGTGCCGCCCGCCGCCCGGCCGGCCCGGGCACCCACCCGAAGTCCTGGTCCATGGACTTGAAGAAGAACTTGTAGGCGTGCACCGGCCGGTTGCTGAGCACGCCCTTGAAGTCGGCCAGCGTGACGCGCTCGGGCGCCACGGGCAGCTTCACCAGGTACGGCGTCTCCTCCTCGTCCATGTGGTAGATGATCTTGGTCTCCGCCATGGCGCGGCGGCGGCGTCAGGCCCGGCCCGGGCACCGCCGCGGGCGCCTCCCCGCCGCCGGCCTGCGCCCCGCCCGCCCGCCCGCCGCTCCCGGCCCGGCCGCCCCGGCCCCGGCCCCGGCCGCGCCCGCCCCGCCGCCCCCCGCTCCGCGCGCGCCTCGCCTGCTGCCCCGCGGCCGGCGGCCGCCCATCCGCCGCGCCCGGGACGCCGCTGGGAGCGCTCCAGGCCCGGCCGCGTCCTGCGCCCGCCGCCCCCTCGGGCCGCGCAGTTCCAGGGACGCCCAGCGGCGCTGCGCGCGGCCCGCGGGGGGCGCCCGAGAGCGCGGCGGCGCTGGCGTCACGGGCGGGGGCGGGGCTGCGCAGGCGCGGGAGGCGGGGCGCGTGGGGACCGGGCTGCGCAGGCGCGGGAGGCGGGGCGCGCCGGGGGCGGGGCTGCGCGGGCGCAGGAGGCGGGGCGCGCGGGGCCGGGGCTGCGCAGGCGCGGGAGGCGGGGCGCGCCGGGGGCGGGGCTGCGCGGGAGGCGGGGCGCGCGGGGCGGAGCGGTGTGCGCGCAGCTCGCGAGGCCTTGGCCGCGCGCTCCGTAGCCGGACCCCCGCCTCCAGCCCCGCGCGCCGGGCGCCCGCGACGCGCTCTGGGCCCGGGCTGCCGCGCGTGGACAGACGGGGCGCGCCAGGGGCAGGAAGTGGGTGGGACGCCCCGCATGTCGCGCCCCGAGCTGTGGGAAGGGAGACCCCGCCCCGCCTCGCCGGGACCCCTCCGGAGCGCGGCGGGCACCTCTGACACCGGCCCTCCGGCCCTCGGAGAGCCCCCTGGTCCGCGGGGCTGAGACCCGAGGCTGCGGGGCCCTAAGGGGGCTGAGGACCCTGTCGCCCCGGCAGGGAGCGGAGGACACCGGCAGCCTGCGCCCCCGCCGCCCCCTCCCAGCCCCGACATGGCTCCCCCGTTGCCGGTGCCCACGGGGCTGAGAAACACGGTCCATTGGGTGCGGGGAGGGCTCGGCGTGCAGGTGTGAGCACACGGGTGTGATGCCGAGGTGACAGCGGGGGTCGCGGGGAGGGGTCACCACGCAGCTCCAGGCGCGCACTGTGCAGAGGTGCCCAGGCCGCAGGTGAAGGGTCCCCCACCCCAGCCGCTGTCACTCAAACAAGCAAGCCTGAGGCCCTCCTCAAGGGAGACCCTGAGCAGCGCTGCCACCAGGAGGATGCACGGGAGGGAGAACCAGAGGGATGGGGATGGGGGGGTGAGGCCCCTGTTCCCCCCTCACCCCCCGAAGCTGGCTGGAGCCTGACCCTCGGGCAATGGGCCGGAGCAGAAGACCCCACCAGGCCACTAGGGGCCAGAGGCGCCCAGGCTGGGGACCATCCCAGGTCAGCCTGAGCCTGGGACCCTGCCTCCAGTCCCCTTGGCTCCATGAGGGTGGTACCCACTGGGCAAAGCCGGAGCCTTCTCCCCTCGCTCAGGTCTGCAGAGCCAGGCAGGATGGCCTTGGAGGGAGGGCCTGTCACAGCTCTCTCAACTGGTGTCCAGGGAAGGAGAGACACAGGGCCTCTACACCAGGCCCTCCAATGGGGTGGTCTGACCCCCCAGCTGCACTCCAGCTAACCCCAAGGTTATCTGTCCCAGCTGACGGATGCCCAGCCAATGCCTCAGTGGTCAAGCTCAGGCCCCTGCGTGAGTCTGTGGCCAGGGCCTCAGCCTGACAGGCCGGGCTTTGTTCAGTGGAAGTGGTGGCCTGTGGGGCCAGGGGCCACTGGGCTGGGATAGAGTCACGTTCTCAAACCACAGGACCCGGCCAGCCTCCCTCCCTGCCTCAGCCACTACGGGTCCCGGGGGAGGGATGCAAGGGGAGCAGCGATTTAAGTCATTGCCTGGGCATTCTACCATCCGACAACCCTGCTCATCAAATCTGGACTCAGGTAAGGACCAGAGCTGAGAATTCCTACCCAAGTCCCGCCCTCGCTTTTCCTGAGCACCTTTTATTTATTTTTTTAAAATATATTTTATTGATTTTTTAAAATATATTTTATTGACTTTTTTACAGAGAGGAAAGAAGAGGGGTAGAGTGTTAGAAACATCGATCAGCTGCTTCCTGCACACCTCCTACTGGGGATGTGCCTGCAACCAAGGTACATGCCCTTGACCGGAATCGAACCTGGGGCCCTTCAGTCCACAGGCCGATACTCTATCCACTGAGCCACACAGGTCAGGGCCCTGAGCACCTTTTAAAATGACCACTCAGCTGGAACCGGTTTGGCTCTGTGGATAGAGTGTCGATTTGCAGACTGAAAGGTCCCGGGTTCGATCCCGGTCAGGGGCATGTACCTTGGTTGTGGGCACATCCCCAGTAGGGGGTGTGCAAGAGGCAGCTGATGGATGATTTTCTCTCATTGATGTTTCTAACTCTATCCCTCTCTCTTCCTCTATGTAAAAAATCAATAAAATATATTTTAAAAAATAAAATGACCACTCAGCCCGGCCAGTGTGGCTCAGTGGTTGAGTATCCACCTAGGAACCAGGAGGTCCCGGTTTGATTCCTGATCAGGGCTCATGCCTGGGCTCAAAATATCCAGTGTGGGGGGTGCAGGAGGCAGCCTATCCATGATTCTCTCTCATCGTGGATGTTTCTCTCTTCCTCTCTGAAATCAATAAAAAATATTTAAGAATAAAATAACCACTCAAAGTAAAGCCTCTGAGAAAGCAGTGACCTCCAGGCCAACCACCATATCAGAAGCAGGTGCTTCCACCGGCTCTGCCTGCTGCAGGCTTGTGAGCTGAGGCAGAGGGCTGCCCTCGCCCGCTGCCCGGGTTCTGGGGTCTGCAAAGTAATAAATCTTTCGACTCTATTTCCTTTGTGAGTTTATTGACACGGCGTCTTCATGAAAACAGCCCGGAGCTTTCTGTGCCCGGCCTGGGAGCTCGGACACCCACCGTGTGGATGGCTTTTGCCTCCTCCTTCAGCTGGTCACGTTCCTCACACCCCAGCCCGGAGGCTGTCCACTCCCTGCTGTCCTGACGGGGCTTTGGAGGATGGGGTCAGGGTCGGGGGAACACAGGCTCCTTCCTGCCACAGCCCCTCCCCCAGCGGTGTCGGACCTGCCCCTTCTGCGGGTGCCTTGTTACCCCCACCTGTCAGTCCTCACACCTCCAGTCCCACCTGCTTCTCAAAGCACTGAGCTACCACCACCAGCATGCTCCCCTCCCCCCCACACGCACACACATTCAAATAAACTCTCAGGAGCCTGACCAGTGTGGCTCAGTCATTGAGCATCAACCTATGAGCCAGGAGGCCAGGGTTCAATTCCCTGTCAGGGCACATGTCCGGGTTTCGGGCTCCATTCCCAGGGAGGGGGAGTGGGCATGCAGGAGGCAGCCGATCAATGATTCTCTCTAATCAGTGATGTTTCTCCCTCTCCCTTCCTCTCTGAAATCAATAAAAATATATTTTTAAAACACACACAAAACAGCCCTACCCAGTTTGGCTCCGTGAACAGTGTCGACCTGGGGACTGAAGGGTCCCAGGTTCGATTCTGGCCAAAGGCACATGTCTGGGTTGCAGGCACATCCCCAGTAGGGGCGGGCAGGAGGCAGCTGATCCATAATTTCTCATCATTGATGTTTCTCTCTCTCCCTCTTCCTTCCTCTCTGAAACCAATAAAGAAATATATTTAACACAATACAAAACAAACCCTCAGGAGCTGCCCCACACTTCGTCCCAAACAGGTGTAAGTGCTGAAAAATCCCGTAGGTCACCCTTCTCAGGACACCCCACCCAGACCTTCCACTCGTGGGTGATGATGGGGGGTTTCAGATGAAGGAAGGAATCTGGGGTTCCAAGGCCCACCCTGCCTGGGAGGAGGAGGGGGCAGCAGAGGCGGGTCTACCAATCAGAAAGGTCTTTATTGTGATGTGGCCATTCCCCAGGAGGTGCCAATGGGGCGTCTGGAGTGGCTGCGGGGGCCACTCTAGCACCATCTTCACCCTCCTCCGTCCTTGGTCTTTGGATAGAACAGAAGCCAAATGACGCCCCAGCCCCGGGCTCCTGCCCAGGGAGGGGCCCAAAGTCGCCTGGAGCCCAGGGTCTGTCAAGGCAGCTGATTGCAAAGGAGGCTGGAAGCGGAGATAGGGCCCCACAGCCCAGGCGGCCGGTGGCAGCAGAGGGACATCAGCCGGGGCAGGGAATGCTGTCCTTAGGCCCCGTGCCCGCGCAGGGCAGCCTGGCTAACAAGACGCAGTGCAGTCCGGAGCCAGAGGGCAGCTCCCCCAGGAAGGCCTGAGGAAGGGGCAGTGCCAGCCCCGGGCTGACCCAGCCCCCGGCTGACCCAGCCCCCAGGCCCCCGCTGCCCCCTGCAGCGGCCGGGCTCCCCCAGAGGGCAGAGGCCTGGAGAGGCCGGGTGACCGGCGGTGGGCTCGGCTGGCCGGAGGGGGCAGGGCCGGCCGTGTGCGCTGCAGGGGGCTGCCGGGGGGCGGGGTGCAGCCCGGAGCAGGCGGAGCCAAGGAGGCCCCCGCCCCGCTGCTGGTGAGGTGAGGGCTCTGGGGGCGGCTCCAGGGGAGCGCTCTGCCTTCTCCCGCCAGCTCAGTCCGGTTCAGTTCGGGGCAGCGGGACCAGCCGCTGGAGGGTCGGGAGCGGCGGGGCAGGCGGACGCCGGGGAGGGTGGCCGGCCGGCCAGCCCGGGCCGCCTCCTCACTTGCAGTACTCCTTCCGGAACTCTGGAAGACAGGCGGCCGGTGGGCGCCCCGCCCTCCCCGCAGGACGCCCGGTTCCGCCCGAGGGCAGCGCTTCCCTCCAGGCTACGCACCTTTGTCCAGGTCGATGTGCTTGGCGGGCGGGGGGCACTGCGCCAGCGCAGCCCGCTCCTTCAGGAGGTTGTTTTTGTAATCTGGGGGGGCAGGGGGGTAGGGGGGAGCGCGGTGAGCCCCAGGGGTGCCTCCCCACTGTGTGTGTGCGTGTGTGCATGTATGTGTGCGTGTATGTCTCTCTGTGTGCCCACGCGGCCCGCTCCTTCAGGAGGTTGTTTTTGTGATCTGAGGCGGGAGCGCCGAGGGTGAGCCCCAGGGGAGCCTCCCCACTGTGTGTGTCTGTGTGTGTATGTGCGTGTGCATGTGTGAATCTCTGAGTGCATGTGCATGTATGTGTGTGCATGTGCATGTATGTGTCTCTGTGTGCATGTATGTATGTGCATGTGCATGTATGTGTGTGCATGTGTGAGTCTCTCTGCGTGTGCATGTATGTGTGTATGTGTGTGCGTGTAGGTGTCTGTGCGTGTGGCAGGCGCCTCACCCAGCGGGAAGTCCTCGCTCCTGCAGAAGGCCTGGTCCCCTGTGGCCACAGGAAACTCCGACAAGTTCACGTCCTTCCTGGGGGGGAGGGGAGGGCGGGTCAGGTCAGCGGGAGGGCCCGGGCCCGGCCCCGCCCAACCCAACGTGGACTGCGGGGAGAGGGGGAGACTCACCCCCTGGCCCTCCCAGGCCTCTGGTCCGAGTAGTCATAACCTGGGGAGGGAGACGCGCGCGCGTGGGGGGGGGGCAGTCTGCCCGCCCCCCAGCCACGAACCGCACCCCCCGAACCCAGGTTCCGGGGCGCCCCCTCCGCCCCGCGCTCACCCTGCACACCCAGGCTCCGGGGCGCCCCCCGCCCCCCGGCCCGCTCACCCCCGCACCCAGGCTCCGGGGCGCCCCCGCCCCCCGCGCCGCTCACCCCCGCACCCAGGCTCCGGGGCGCCCCCGCCCCCCGCGCCGCTCACCCCCGCACCCAGGCTCCCGGGGCGCCCCCGCCCCCCGCCCCGCGCTCACCCCCGCACCCAGGCTCCGGGGCGCCCCCGCCCCCCGCGCCGCTCACCCCCGCGCCGGCGCTGCCGCGTGGCCAGCACCACGGTGAGCAGCAGCAGCAGGAAGAGCAGCAGCGCGGCCAGCACGTAGCCCAGCTGCTGGAAGAAGAGCGCGCGGCCCTCGGGCACGATCACGTTGATGACGCTGCGGCCGCGCGCCAGCGTGGGGTCTGCGGGGCCGCGGGGGGGGGGGTCAGAGGTCAGGGGCGGGGCTGCAGCCTGTGCACCCTGACCCCAGCCTCACCCTGCGCTGACCCCCCCCGCGGGGCCTCCCCTCGCTGGCCCCCAGGGGCCCTCCCGTGGGATGGGGAGGGGCCGGCCGGGCTCCCAGCAGCCGGGCCCGGCCGTTCCCGGCCCCTAGATGTTTTCCAGGGGCCCGGGGCGGCCTTGGGGGGGGGGGCGGCCTGGGGGGAGAGGGGGCGCCTGGGGGGAGCCCGGGGGAAGCCGGGGCGGCCTGGGGGGGCGGCCTTGGGGAGCCCCGGGAGAGCCGGGGCGGCCTTGGGGGGCGGCCTTGGGGAGCCCCGGGAGAGCCGGGGCGGCCTGGGGGGGCGGCCTTGGGGGAGAGGGGGCGCCTGGGGGGAGCCCGGGGGGAGCCGCGGAGGCCTGGGGGGGCGGCCTGGGGGAGCCGGGGCGGCCTGGGGGGGGCGGCCTGGGGGGAGAGGGGGCGCCTGGGGGGGGCCCGGGGGAGCCGGGGCGGCCTGGGGGGAGAGGGGGCGGCCTGGGGGGAGAGGGGGCGCCTGGGGGGAGCCCGGGGGAGCCGGGGCGGCCTGGGGGGAGAGGGGGCGGCCTGGGGGAGCCCGGGGGGAACTGGGGCGGCCTGGGGGGAGGGGGGGTGGCCAGGGGGAGCCCGGGGGAAGCCGGGGCGGCCTGGGGGGAGGGTGGGCGGCCTGTGGGACCCCGGGGTGAGGGGGGCGGCCTGGGGGGAGAGGGGGCGCCTGGGGGGAGCCCGGGGGGAGCCGCGGAGGCCTGGGGGGAGGGGGGCGGCCTGTGGGACCCCGGGGGGAGGGGGGTGGCCTGGGGGGAGAGGGGGCGGCCTGGGGGAGCCCGGGGGGAGCCGGGGCGGCCTGGGGGGAGGGGATGGCCGGGGGGAGCCCGGGGGGAGCCGGGGCGGCCTGGGGGGAGGGGGGCGGCCTGGGGGGAGGGGGGCGGCCTGTGGGACCCCGGGGTGAGGGGGGCGGCCTGGGGGAGCCCGGGGGGAGCCGGGGCGGCCTGTGGGGAGGGGGTGGCCGGGGGGAGCCGGGGCGGCCTTGGGGGGGGGCGGCCTGGGGGGAGAGGGGGCGGCCTGGGGGAGCCTGGGGTGAGGGGGGAGCCCGGGGTGAGGGGGTCGGCCTGGGGGAGCCCGGGGTGAGGGGGGCGGCCTGGGGGGAGAGGGGGCGGCCTGGGGGAGCCCCGGGGGAGCTGGGGCGGCCTGGGGGGAGAGGGGGCGGCCTGGGGGAGCCCGGGGAGAGCCGGGGCGGCCTGGGGGGAGGGGGGCGGCCTGTGGGACCACGGGGTGAGGGGGGCGGCCTGGGGGGAGCCGGGGCGGCCTGGGGGGAGCCCCGAGGGAGCCGGGGCGGCCTGGGGGGAGGGGGTGGCCGGGGGGAGCCGGGGCGGCCTTGGGGGGGGGCGGCCTGGGGGGAGAGGGGGCGGCCTGGGGGAGCCGGGGGTGAGGGGGGCGGCCTGGGGGGAGAGGGGGCGGCCTGGGGGAGCCCGGGGGGAGCCGGGGCGGCCTGGGGGGAGAGGGGGCGGCCTGGGGGGAGGGGGTGGCCGGGGGGAGCCGGGGCGGCCTTGGGGGGGGCGGCCTGGGGGGAGAGGGGGCGGCCTGGGGGAGCCCGGGGGGAGCCGGGGCGGCCTGGGGGGAGGGGGTGGCCGGGGGGAGCCGGGGCGGCCGGGCACCTGGGGCCGGCGCGCCGCCGGGGCGGGAGCCGTTGCCCGGGGGCGGCGGCGGCGGCGGGGCGGGCGCGGTGACCGTCAGGCGGAAGACGCGGCGCTCGTGCAGGCCGCAGTAGTGGTGGTGCAGGTGGCAGGAGTAGGTGCCCTCGTCCGCCGGCTCCAGCGGCTCGATGCGCAGCGAGAAGTCGCCGCGCGCGAAGGCGTCGGCGCGCACGGACACGCGGTCGCGCAGCACGGGCGGCCCGTAGGCGCGGCGCTCGCCGGACGCGTACAGGTCGAGCAGGCGGTCGGCGCGGTCGTGCGGGACGCCCGGCGGCTGCCGGTCCCAGTGCGCCACCTGCTGCGCCTCCTCCAGCGGCTGCCGGTCCGTCCACACGGCCGCGCGGTTCACGCAGGTCAGCAGCGCGGGCGCCCCGCGCGCCGCCACCAGCACCTCCTTCTCGCCGTCCCAGTGCGCGCCGGCGGCCCGGGCTGCGGGGAGGCCGCTCAGTGCGGGGCGGGGGGCAGGGGCGGGGGGCGGGGGGCAGGGGGAAGGGAGGGGGCGGGGGGGGGCAGAGGCGGAGGGGGAGGCGCTAGGGCTGCGGGCGGGGCGGGGCGGGGCGGACCGCTTAGTGCGGGGGAAGGGGGTTGGGGTGTGGATGGGGGCAGAGGCGGGCGGGGCGGGGCGGGGCGCGGCCCGTAGCGGCCGGGGATGGAGGGGCGTCCCGCGGGGCCGGCACTCACGGTCGTCGGTGACCTCCAGCTGGACGGCCAGGTTCTCGTCCAGGTGGCAGTAATGGTGGTGCAGGTTGCAGGTGTACAGCCCGGCGTCCGCCTCCTCCACCGCTGGCCCGGGAGGGGGCGGAGGCCGCGGTGAGCTCCCGCCCGCGCCCCCGATGCCCACGCCCGTGCCGTGAACCCGCCCCGGGCAGTGGCTCCGGCCACGGCAGCGCCCCGCCCCCTCCCGCCGTGACCCCCCCCCCGTGCCCTCCCCGTGCCCTCCCCGCCGTGCGCTCCCGCGGGTGGAGGGCGGGGGGCGGGGCAGGGGTGGGGCGGAGGGCGGGGGGGCGGAGGGGGTGAGGCCGGGGGGGGGGGCGAGGGGCGGAGGGCGGGGACGGAAGGAGGGAGGGCGGGGGGCGGGGGGCAGGGCCGGGGGCGGAGGGGGGAGGGCGGGGGACGGGGGGGAGGGCGGGGGGCAGGGCCGGGGCGGGGGGCTGAGGGGGGAGGGTGGGGGGCGGAGGGGCTGGGGCGGGGGACGGAGGGGCGGGGCAGGGGGCGGGGGGGAGGGCGGGGGGCGGGGGGCAGGGCCGGGGGCGGAAGGGGGTGGCGGGGGGGGGGGGGCGGGGGGCGGAGGGCGGGGGGCGGAAGGGTGAGGCCGGGGGCGGAGGGCGGGGGACGGAAGGAGGGAGGGCGGGGGGCGGAGGGGGAGGGCGGGGGGGGGGGGGAGGAGGGCCGGGGGCCGGGGGACGGAGGGGCGGGGCGGGGCGGGGCGGGGGGCGGGGGGCTGGCCCGGGGGCGGAAGGGCAGGCCGGTACCGCGGATGAGCAGCGAGAAGTTGCCGTCCAGGAAGGCGGCGGGCGGCAGCAGCAGGCGGCCCCGGTCGCGCGGCTCGTACACGCGCTGCTCGCCCGCCGAGAACAGGTCCACGAGGCGGCGCGCGGGGCCGGCGGGGCCGCGCAGGTCCCAGTGCAGCACGCGCTGCCGGTCGTGCAGCCGGTCCTGCGTCCACACCATCCGGGGGCTCTGGCAGCGCAGCTCGGCGCGGCCGCCCGCGGGCCCGCTCACCGCGGCCTCCGCCACCACCGCGCCGCCCGCCGGCCCTGGAGGAGGAGGAGGGGGCGCTGAGCAGGGGGACCGGGGGACCGGGTGGGCACAGGGGGCAGGGAGGGGGTGGGGACCTGGGGGCAGGGACGGGGTGAGCCCAGGGGGCAGGGAGGGGTGGGCCAGGGGGCAGGTACGGGGTGGGGACCAGGGGCCAGGGACAGGGTGAGCCCAGGGGGCAGGGAGGGGGTGGGGACCAGGGAGCAGGGAGGGGGTGGGGACCTGGGGGCAGGGACGGGGTGAGCCCAGGGGGCAGGGAGGGGGTGATCCCAGGGGGCAAGGAGGGGGTGGGGACCAGGGGGCAGGTACGGGGTGGGGACCAGGGGCCAGGGACAGGGTGAGCCCAGGGGGCAGGGAGGGGGTGGGGACCAGGGAGCAGGGAGGGGGTGGGGACCTGGGGGCAGGGACGGGGTGAGCCCAGGGGGCAGGGAGGGGTGGGCCAGGGGGCAGGGAGGGGGTGGGGACCAGGGGGCAGGGACGGGGTGAGCCCAGGGGGCAGGGAGGGGGTGAGCCCAGGGGGCAGGGAGGGGGTGGGGACCAGGGGGCAGGTACGGGGTGGGGACCAGGGGCCAGGGACAGGGTGAGCCCAGGGGGCAGGGAGGGGGTGGGACCAGGGGGCAGGGACGGGGTGGGGACCAGGGGGCAGGGAGGGGGTGGGGACCAGGGGGCAGGGAGGGGGTGAGCCCAGGGGGCAGGGAGGGGGTGGGGACCAGGGGGCAGGGACGGGGTGGGGACCAGGGGGCAGGGACGGGGTGAGCCCAGGGGGCAGGGAGGGGTGGGCCAGGGGGCAGGGACGGGGTGAGCCCAGGGGGCAGGGAGGGTGTGGGATCCAGGGGGCAGGGACGGGGTGGACCCAGGGGGACAGAGACGGGGTTGGGGGGGGCCCAGGGGGCAGGGACCGGGTGGGGACCAGGGGGCAGGGAGGGGGTGGGGACCAGGGGGCAGGGAGGGGGTGAGCCCAGGGGGCAGGGAGGGGGTGGGGACCAGGGGGCAGGGACGGGGTGGGGACCAGGGGGCAGGGACGGGGTGAGCCCAGGGGGCAGGGAGGGGTGGGCCAGGGGGCAGGGACGGGGTGAGCCCAGGGGGCAGGGAGGGTGTGGGATCCAGGGGGCAGGGACGGGGTGGACCCAGGGGGACAGAGACGGGGTTGGGGGGGCCCAGGGGGCAGGGACCGGGTGGGGACCAGGGGGCAGGGAGGGGGTGAGCCCAGGGGGCAGGGAGGGGGTGGGGACCAGGGGGCAGGACCGGGCGGGGACCAGGGGGCAGGGACGGGGTGGGGACCAGGGGGCAGGGAGGGGTGGGCCAGGGGGCAGGGAGGGGTGGACCAGGGGGCAGGGACGGGGTGGGGACCAGGGGGCAGGGACGGAGTGAGCCCAGGGGGCAGGGAGGGGGTGGGCCCAGGGGGCAGGGAGGGGTGGGCCAGGGGGCAGGACCGGGTGGGGACCAGGGGGCAGGGACCGGGTGGGGTCCAGGGGGACAGGGACGGGGGTGGGGGGGGGCCCAGGGGGCAGGGACCGGGTGGGCCCAGGGGGACAGGGACGGGGGTGGGGGGGATCAGGGGGCAGGGACCGGGCGGGGACCAGGGGGCAGGGGCGGGGCGGGGCTGGCCTGGCGGGGACGGGAGGGGACTGTCCGCAGTGGGGCGGTCACTCACCGGAGCACAGGACCGCGGAGCCTGGAGGGACAAGAAGAGCCAGTCATGCGGGGGAGGGGTGGCCTTGGCCTTCACATCCCGGCACAGCCCCGGGGAGGGGCACTGGCCCTTGTTCCCCCCCAATTTTTTTTGAGCAACATTTTTAATATATTTTATTGATTTTTTTACAGAGAGGAAGGGAGAGAGATAGAGTTAGAAACGTCCATGAAAGTCATTGATCAGCTTCCTCTTGCACGCCCCCTACTGGGGATGTGCCAGAATCAAGCCCGGGACCCTTCAGTCCGCAGGCGGCCAAACCGGTTAGGACCCCCCTCTTTTTTTTAATATATATTTTTATTGATTTCAGAGAGGGAGGGAGAGGGGGAGAGGGAGAAAAACATCAGTGATGAGAGAGAATCCTTGATCAAGTGCCTCCCCCTCGCCCCCCACTGGGCACTGAGCCCACAGCCGGGCATGTGCCCTGTCGGGAATCAGGGAATCGAACCCTGACTTCCTGGTTCATAGGTCGATGCTCAACCACTTGTCCCGTCTGTAGTCCCCGCTGAGGTGGGTGCTGGCACCCGGTTTATGGGTGGCGATAAAGCCAGAGAAGACACAGGTCTTCTTTCCCACAGCCCCCCTAATCCTCACAGCCCCCCCTTAACCCTCACAGCCCCCCTTAACCCCCCTTAACCCTCACAGCCCCCCTTAACCCTCACAGCCCCCCCTTAACCCTCACAGCCCCCCTTAATCCCCCTTAACCCTCACAGCCCCCCCTAACCCTCACAGCCCCCTTAACCCTCACAGCCCCCCTTAACCCTCACAGCCCCCCCTAACCCTCACAGCCCCCCTTAACCCTCACAGCCCCCCCTTAACCCTCACAGCCCCCCTAACCCTCACAGCCACTGCAGGGATGCACCTGCCCTTTGGGGTGCGTGGTGAGCGGTGGGTTCGGGTTAGACCCCACTGGCTGGGTCTGGGGTGCATGCTCCTCAGCACCTCCCGCTCAGGGGATGGAGGGCCAGCAAGGGAGCCTGGGCACAGGGAGCTGGTGCCCGGGAGGCTGGGCACAGGGAGCTGGTGCCCGGGAGGCTGGGCACAGGGAGCCTGGGCACAGGGAGCTGGTGCCCGGGAGGCTGGGCACAGGGAGCTGGTGCCCGGGAGGCTGGGCACAGGGAGCTGGTGCCCGGGAGGCTGGGCGCAGGGAGCTGGTGCCCGGGAGGCTGGGCACAGGGAGCTGGTGTCCCGGAGGCAGGCACTGCACCTGCCGGGGCCAGGCTGGAGCCTCAGGGCCTCACCTGGAGCCACCCCACCCCCCCGCTCAGGGCTGGAGCCCCAGTCCTGAAGGGCAGGGTCTGAGCACCGACATGCTGGACGTGAGGAGGGACCCACATCTGCCACCTCACAGCCCAGCTCCCGCTGCAGAGCGCGGGCGCCAGGCGGGAGGAATGTGCCGGGTCAGCAGGCCAGCTCGGCGGGCGGAGGGGGGGTGTGTGTGCAGGAAGCCAGGAGCAGGCCCTGCAAGCCCCACAGTCCCCAGGCCCCATGTCCCCAGCGGCTCCCCTCCTGCCACAGGATCCCCCCCCCCCCCCGCCCCCGCCCTGGACCTCTGGCTCCAGCTCCGCGAGAGGAGGACCTGGAGGCTCACACCCTCCTGGGCCCGGGACCCCGCCATCTCTGAGGTCCCCCTGCCTGTCCCTTCCCACCGGGCAGCCCCCTCACGGGGCTCCGCTCCCACAGGCGGCTTTGCCTAAAACCAGCCGCGCTGTGGCCGGCGCCGAGCCCACCCGCACTCACTCTGCAGCAGCAGAAGTTTCCAGAGCAGGACTCCGGCCCCCAGCACCATGGTGCCGCCGGCAGCTGGGCTTTGTCTGCTCCCTCCGCTCCAACTCCAGAAAAACAGCCCGGCCCCCTCCCCCGGCCCCGCCATGACATCACGGAGCACTGGGCCGGCCAGGGCTGCAGACCGCCCCCTCGCTCTGCCCGGCCCGGCCTCCCCACCCCGCGGCCATGGGGAGGGGCCCTCTGGCCCGGGTCCGGGTCCGGGTCCGGGAGGGCCGAGGGTGAGGTCCCCCGATGCCTGTGGGTGGGCGGCTGTGACATGCGGGTCCTGCTGGGGCGCCTGCTGCAGCTGGGGTTCCGCCGTGAGCGCCCCTCACCCCACCTCTGCCCGGGACCCTGCCCGGGGCACCCCCTCGTGGGCGGCCTGGCCCTGCCCACCCGGGGTGCAGGCATCCGGGCAGGGACCCCCGGGGATCCAGGCAGCCAAACCGCCGGCTCTTCCCGCTTCCGTTAGCCTGCGATGACCCCACATTTCATCCAGAAAAGGGGGATCCGCACAGCCCAGCCCTGGGGGGAGGCCTGGGCGGGGCCTGGGCACAGCATGAGGCCCTGATGGCTCCACAGGAGCCAGGGGGACATGGGGGGACCCTGAGCACGGAGGGGGGCCAGCGTGGGAGCCATGCCCACCTCTCTGGCCTGCCCCCCCTCCCCCCAGCACCTGCCCACCACCCAGGGCAGAATGGGTGTCCCTGAACTCAAACCCGGGTCACCAGCTCCTGGGGGCGCCCCCACCCAGCGGAGAGGGGAGGGAGGGTACCGGAGCCCCCACCGCAGAAGGCACTAATTTGAAACTCGGGGAAAACCCGCGGAGTCGCGTAAACAAATGGGAAATGACAGAGCGGCGCTGGGTACGAGCCCACTCCCTCTCGTTGAGCAAACCTCAGAGAGGAACCCACAGCGCATTCCTCCGGGCGGGCGGCCGGGATGTGGTGGCCAGCCCGCCCGGCCCCGCCCCCTGGGCTCGGTCTCCGCGTGACCCTGCCCTGGTCCCCCGTCCCTGACCAGCCGGGCACCGCCCAGCTCCGGGCGCCCAGAGGGGGCGCCGGTGACAGGAGGGAGCCCCCCGCGCCCACACCCACAGACTTCACGGCGGCTCCTCAGCAGGATCCGGCCCTGGGGGGCGGGCCGTTTCCAAACCAGCTGCCCTCACCCCGGCTCCTCCAGGGCCTTTCATTCTGGAAAAACAAGCTGGCCTCCGCCCCGGGCCCCGGGCCTCGAGGCCAGCTCCCCTTGTTTTTCTAACTGGTTTGTGTTAGGGCGGGTGGTGCTCTCCGCCCCCCTGCATCCCCCCTCCCCCGCCTGCCCCCGGGTCTGCTCCTCCATCTCCATCCTCCGCCCGCCCCTTGGCCCCTTGGCCGCCTGCTCCCCTGCGTGGAGGGAAGACGCCCAGGCAGCTGGAGAGAGGCAGGAAGGCCAGGGCCGGCCACTGGTCTGAGGGGCCCGGTTACACCCTAAACTCGAGGGGTCAGGGTGCACTCAGGGGCGCCCCCCCCCTCGGTCCTGAGGCTCCCGGGCTCCCCCTGCTGCAGACCCAAGTGCATGAGGATGTTGGGGGGGGGGCGCCCCTGAGTGCACCCTGACCCCTCGCCCCAGCGGGCAGGACAGAGAACAGTCAGGGCCCCCTCCTCCCGTTCCCTCCGCGGAGGCCAGCTGAGCCCCAGGAGCCGCAGAGGGCCGCCCGCCCCGTCTTCGGTAGGAAATGGCACAGATGTGAGCAGAGCAGCGGGACCAGGCCAGTGCCCCTCCCGCCGCGGCCGCCCAGCTTCCTCTCCCTCCTCTCCCATGGGTGCCCGGCCTCGGGACGCTCCGCGGGGAGAGCAGACCGGGCTGAGGACGCTGGCAGCATCCCCCGTCCGCCTGAGCTCAGGCCCAGCCCCCCCAATCCCTGCACCCCCCTAGCCCGGAGCCTCCTCCCTCCGCGGGCTGAGAACCAGACTCTGGCTCCGGCTCCTGGGACCCGGACATTCCAGGCCGCCTGGCTCATCGGGAGGAAAACCACAGGCGCTCCGAGCGGCACCAGCAGGCTCCCACGTGGTCACCTACTGTGCGCTGAGCACCTACTGTGCGCGGTGGGGGCAGTGCGGAGGCCAGGCTCCCGCGGCCGGAGCCGTGAGGAGGGCAGCTGGCCGCCAGGTCACACACACACACACACGCACACACACACTCCGCGCACAGGAGGGTGCTGTCAGGTGCCCAGGGCCGCCTCCCTGCCTGGACCGGCCGCAGTGGCTTCTGGGGGGCGACACCCACAGGGAAGGCGCGGAAAGCCCTCCCAGGTGAGGGAGAGGGAGCCTGCTGTGGTCTGGCTCCCGAAGGCCCTCGGAGCCGGGCCTGGGACTGAGCGCAGGGACGGGGCTGGGAGGCAGGAAATGCCTGAATGGTTGGTGCAGCTTCTGTGGGGCCTCGGGGCTCACCGGGCACCCACCCCCCCGGGACCCCCCTGGGACCCTCCCCCCCGGGGCCCCCCCGGGCCTCCCCCCGGGACCCCCCTGGGACCCTCCCCCCCGGGGCCCCCGGGACCCTCCCCCGGGGCTCACCGGGCACCTACCCCCCGCGGCGCCCCCCCCCGGGACCCTCCCCTGGGCCTCCCCCCGGGGCTCACCGGGCACCCACCCCCCCGGGGCCCCCCCGGGACCCTCCCCCGGGGCTCACCGGGCACCCCCCCCGGAGCCCCCCCGGGACCCCCCCCCCGGGGCTCACCGGGCATCCCCCCCCGGGCCCCCTGGGGCCCCCCCCTCCCCATATGTCCGCCCTCCCCATGGCATCCACCCCCCACGCGCCCATACTGTGAGTGTGGGCAGGAGTGGTGAGTACAGTGGATAGCGCTTCGCACCCACATGGGTAAGCACTAGGAACTCTCTGGGGGACGGGGACCACAAGGCAGCCCAGCTGCCGCCAACCAGAGCCACCTGGGCCTCAGTCTACCGACCGACAGAGCCCGCCGCCCGGGCCCCAGCCTGACCGACCGACGGAGCCGCCGCCCGGGGCCCAGCCTGACCGACCGACAGAGCCCGCCGCCCGGGGCCCAGCCTGACCGACCGACGGAGCCCGCCGCCCGGGGCCCAGCCTGACCGACCGACGGAGCCCGCCGCCCGGGCCCAGCCTGACCGACCGACGGAGCCGCCGCCCGGGCCCAGCCTGACCGACCGACGGAGCCCGCCGCCCGGGCCCAGCCTGACCGACCGACGGAGCCCGCCCCCCGGGGCCCAGCCTGACGGACCGACGGAGCCCGCCGCCCGGGGCCCAGCCTGACCGACGGAGCCGCCGCCCGGGCCCAGCCTGACCGACCGACGGAGCCGCCGCCCGGGCCCAGCCTGACCGACCGACGGAGCCCGCCCCCCGGGCCCAGCCTGACCGACCGACGGAGCCCGCCCCCCGGGCCCAGCCTGACCGACGGAGCCCGCCGCCCGGGCCCAGCCTGACCGACGGAGCCCGCCGCCCGGGCCCCAGCCTGACCGACGGAGCCGCCGCCCGGGGCCCAGCCTGACCGACCGACGGAGCCCGCCGCCCGGGGCCCAGCCTGACCGACCGACGGAGCCGCCGCCCGGGGCCCAGCCTGACCGACCGACGGAGCCCGCCGCCCGGGGCCCAGCCTGACCGACCGACGGAGCCGCCGCCCGGGCCTGTCTGACCGACCGACGGAGCCGCCGCCCGGGGCCCAGCCTGACCGACCGACGGAGCCGCCGCCCGGGGCCCAGCCTGACCGACCGACGGAGCCGCCGCCCGGGCCCAGCCTGACCGACCGACGGAGCCGCCGCCCGGGCCCAGTCTGACCGACCGACGGAGCCGCCGCCCGGGCCCAGTCTGACCGACGGAGCCGCCGCCCGGGGCCCAGCCTGACCGACGGAGCCGCCGCCCGGGGCCCAGCCTGACCGACCGACGGAGCCGCCGCCCGGGCCCAGTCTGACCGACGGAGCCGCCGCCCGGGGCCCAGCCTGACCGACGGAGCCGCCGCCCGGGCCCAGCCTGACCGACCGACGGAGCCGCCGCCCGGGCCCAGTCTGACCGACGGAGCCGCCGCCCGGGGCCCAGCCTGACCGACCGACGGAGCCGCCGCCCGGGGCCCAGCCTGACCGACGGAGCCGCCGCCCGGGGCCCAGCCTGACCGACGGAGCCGCCGCCCGGGCCCAGCCTGACCGACCGACGGAGCCGCCGCCCCGGGCCCAGCCTGACCGACGGAGCCCGCCCCCCGGGCCCAGCCTGACCGACCGACGGAGCCGCCGCCCGGGCCCAGCCTGACCGACCGACGGAGCCGCCGCCAGGGCCAGCGGGAAGCAGCCTGCGCGGGGAGGATGCAGAGGCCGAGGCTGACCTCACCCTCACCACGACCCTGTGACCCTGTGACCCTGTGACCCAGTGACCCTGTGAGGACCAGCGGGCAGGCGGGAAGCTGTGCGGTGCCGAGGGTGCCGCCTTCAGCTGCTAGTTCGTGGGGATCCCTGGACACAGCCTTACACGCACTCACACACACACTCACACATACACACACACTCACACACAGAGACACACATACACACTCACACACACTCTCACACACACACACACACTCACACACAGAGACACACATACACACTCACACACACACACTCACACACACATACACACACACACAGACACGCACACACACACACTCACAGAGACACACACACATACACACACACATATACTCACACACACACTCACACACAGAGACACACATATACACACATACACACACAGAGAGACACACATACACATACACACTCACACACATACACACTCACACACAGAGAGACACACATACACACACACACATACACACTCACACACACACACTCACACACATATACACACACACACTCACACACATATACACACACACACTCACACAGGACTGCCTCCTAGGAGCCGGGGGACTGAGGGGAGCGCCCGCTGCAGGGAAGAGCAATGGGAGCTGGTGTGCGGAGCCGTGCGGGCAGAGTGTATTGGTGCGGGTGCATTGGTGCTGTCCACACCGGGGGAGGTGGAGGCAGCAGGGTCAGGCTCCCTCCTTCCTGCCGGCTCTGACGCTTCCGGCCCCTCGTAAGGCTTGTCCCGATAGGGGCCTACAG